AGTGGAGAGAGAAGGAAGTGCAATTAGCATGTAAGGCCCTCACCAGGGGACCCATACCACCAACTATTAATACCTGCTCCCAACCTTTCTCAACTCACAATTTTGGAACCCATGACCCTTGCCTAGCGAGTGCTACTTAGTTGATGGTGAGTCCCTCCATCATAACAAAAGGCCAAGTACAGTTCCAAGCACAGTTCCCATAATCAGGGTAATAACAATTTATTCTTCCTGCCCCAATAACAGAGACACTGGGGATCCCACAGCAGCCAAAGTGACCATTTGGGCAGCTATGGCCTCATTCTAGGCAGGGTGGGTGTGCCTATGCAAATGAGATGGCCCCTGAAGTTCTTTTCCACAACTTGCTACACCTCACCACCAGGTGTCAGGGTGGAGCTCATCCTGACTCTGCTTACATCTATAAACAGGGTGGTGCTCACTCTTCTCCGCTGTGTCAGGAAGTCCTCGGGCTATGAGACTTCTGCATTGCCCACTCGATAACAATTGGAGGCATTGTATCTTCCAGGCTCGCAGAACGAACTGGCCGATCACCTCAGCAGGTCTTTTCACGGCCATGAGTAGTCTCTTTGCCCGGACGTCACCATCAGCATTTTCCAAAGGTGGGGCTCTCCCCAGATAGACCTGTTTGCGACACAACACATCAGGAAGTGTCATCAATTCTGCTCCTTCCTGAATCACAGCCTGGGCTTGCTTGCGGACGCCTTTTTCCTCCCTTGGAATGGGGGCCTGCTGTATGCTTTCCCACCTTTCCCACTCATCCACAAGGTCTTCCTCAAAGTCCGACAGGAGAAAGCATCGTTAATCTTGATAGCACCAGCGTGGCTACATCAGTACTGGTTCATCACACTGCTAGACTTGTCCATGGACGCACCTATAACTCTGCTCCTGGTTTTCGGACTTGATCACGCAGGATCATGGCCGCCTCCAGCACCCCAACCTGGAGTCTCTCCACCTCATGGCATCGAAACTCCACGGCTAAAGCTGTTGGAGCTCACGTGCTCTGACCTGGTTAGGGAGGTTCTCTTTGGCAGCAGAAAGCCTTCCACTCGTGCCACTTATCTGGCTAAGTGGAAGAGGTTTTCAATTTGGTCTCTACAGAAGGGCACTCCTCCATTGCAGGCCTCAATTCCCTTCATCCTGGACTATTTACTTCACCTAAAACAGCAGGGTCTGCTGGTTCACCTGGCTGCGATCAAGGTTCACCTGGCTGCAATCAAGGTTCACCTGGCTGCGATTTCAGCTTTCCAGCCTGGCTCAGTGGGCCGCTCAGTATTTGCTAACCCCATGGTTGGCCATTTTCTCAAGGGGCTGTACAGGCTGTACCCTCAGGTACGACAGCCGATTTCCCCATGGGATCTCAACCTGGTGCTCTCCAGGCTGATGGGCCCTCCCTTTGAGCCCCTGGTGACTTGCTGTCTCCTTTACCTTTCTTGGAACGTGGTGTTCCTAATGGCTATAACATCAGCCAGAAGTGTGTCTGAGCTCAAGGCCCTGATGTCTGAGCCCCCTTATGCCATGCTTTATACGGACAAAGTACAGTTGTGGCCGCACCCAGTGTTCCTCCCGAAGGTAGTTTCACAATTTCACAGGAATCAGGACATCTTTCTGCTGGTGTTCTGCCCTAAGCTGCATGCTAATGACAGGGTACGTATGCTCCGTTCCCTGGATGTCAAATGGGCATTAGCTTTTTACATTGAGTGGACAAAGCCATTTAGAAAGTCAACACAGCTCTTCATCGCGATTGCTCAGTGAAAGAAAGGTCTCCCTGTCTCATCCCAAAGGATCTCTTCATGGATCCCGCCCTGTATCCGCCCATGGATCCCACCCTGCTATGACCTAGCAAAGATACCAGCCCCAGCGTTAACAGCGCACTCCACAAGAGCACAAGCTTCATCTGCAGCGTTCCTGGCACAGGTCCCTATCCAGGACATCTGTAGTGCGGTGACGTGGTTGTCTGTTCACACCTTTACATTGCACTACACCATCTCTCAGCAGGCTAGAGACAATGCCACGTTTGGTAGAGCCGTGCTACAGTCTGTAACTCTGTGAACTCTGACACCTCCGGGGGACTGCTTGGGAATCACCTACTTGGAATCGACATGAGCAAACACTCGAAGAAGAAAAAACAGTTACCTTCCTTTCGTAACTGTTGTTCTTTGAGATGTGTTGCTCACGTCCATTCCAAGCCCACCCACTTCACCTCTGTCAGAGTATCTGGTAAGAAGGAACTGAAGACGCAGCAGGTCAGCAGGGACCTATATACACCGCCATGAAGGCACCACTCCAGGGGGCTCCACAGCCGACCTGACAGATAGTGCTCTAAGCGAAAAATCTTCTGACAAGTGTGCCCGTGGCATGCACACATCTAATTGGAATGGACATGAACAACACATGTCGAAGAACAACAGTTACGAAAGGTAGGTAACCGTTTTTTCTCCATCACTGGCCATTTTTAAATCAAAATCAGATGTTTTTTCTAAACTATCTGCTCCAGCTCAAACAGGAATTGTTTTGAGGCTGTTCTCTGGCCTGCGTAATGTGAGAGGTCAGACTAGATGATCAGTGTGACACTGCACCTCATATTCCTCATAGTGATAGTATTATGATATGATTATAGCATAACTGTGATGCCTTTTGTACAAGATGGGTCATGTAAGGCATCATTGGAAAAGTTGTGATTTGCTGATTATCCTATTTGTATGCATGTATCATTTTTTATATCTGAAGTTAGGAATATTGACTATGTATCTGAATTTCAAATATAATCACACCTGGGTGACGCTCACTAGGCAAGATGCTTTTAGTCTAGATAGCTGGTTGGGAAGGGCCTATATTGGGTAATGAGCCATTAGGGAAAACAATAGGCCTTAGGCGTAGCGTATACCCCACCTGATGAGCCTTACTGAGAAAGCTCCTCTGACTCTACAAGGGCATGTGATCAGCCACATGATTCTGGACTCCATCTTGTGAGGAACAAAGACTGAACTGGTGGGAAGTGCTGGAACCAGGCTAAAGGGATTGCTAGCCTGTGTATGAAATCCTGGGAAACCCATGCTGCCAGCCTGCTTGTACCATCACTCAGGGTGAGAAACTACTAATTCATATCCAATCTATCCAGTATGTTAAGCTTAGTTTGTGTTTTTGTTTATTTGCTAGGTAATCTGCTTTGATCTGTTTGTTATCACTTATAATCATTTAAAATCTATCTTTTGTAGTTAATAAAATTATTTTATGCTTTAATCTAAACCAGTGTGCGTTTGACTGAGGTGTCCAGGGAAAATCTCAGCTTGGTTACCACAAGTGTGCATCATCCTCTTCACATTGAGGGAGCGGTGGACCATGTATTAAACCCATATACTGGCTAGATTTGACCAGGGCAGGACAGTACTGCTCTGGGGTCCTAGGCTGGGGAGCTGGTGCTTATTTTGGCTGTAGACTCTCTATTGTTGCTGCATGCAGTGGCTGGTCAGAGCCTGCATGTAACTGCATCAGGATGTGTCCCTATCTGTGTGAGTGCTGGCGAAAGTGTGAGCTTGGAGGGCTTTGCAGCTTGTCACAGCAGCACAGTGTGAGAGGGAGCCCAGATTGGTGAGTCAGAGGGCTCAGTGATACCCCAGTTCCAGGTGGCACCCCGGGGGAAACCTGTCACAATCACAATGGTCCCTTTTGACTTTAAAATTGATGCCCCTGGGCAGTCCTATGGCCCTCATTAAACTAGCAACTCCAAGTGAAAGCTGCCTGCTGTGTGTGACCCTTTCTGGGGGTACCCAGGGCTGAGAGGCCCCTGGCTACCACCTGCCCTTAGTGGGAGGAAGCCTCATCTGTGCCTGCCATGGGTCAGGTCCCGGGCTCCACTGGCCCCACTCTTCTCTAGGCCTCTGCAGGCCTCCTTTCTCGCTGCAGTTTAGCAACAGGCACACTGAACCCCCTGAGCTCTCAGCGCATCCCCCTGGAGTGGCCAGCCCCTTCCACTGGACACTGCATCTAAATAAACAGCACCCCCCCCACACTTACCAGTTCCCCTCAGACGATGGTGCCACTTAACACACAGCACTTGGATGTGCTTATAGTGTAAACAAGCAAAAGTTTATTTGACACACAGTAGAGATTCACCTGATAGCAAATAGACATGTAGGACCAAATGGTTGCATATAAAATCATAACCTGCAATCTAGAACTAGAGATGTCGGCCGAGTTAAAAAAAAAATTATTGTAAGAATAAAAAAAACCAGTCGTGATTTATCACTGTTATAATCACTCTGTTAAGAGAATACCAATTGAAATTTATTATAAATATTTGTGGATGTTTTCTACATTTTCAAATATATTGATTTCAGTTACAACACAGAATACAAAGTATATAGTGCTCACTTTATATTATTATTTTTATTACAAATATTTGCACTGTAAAAAGAAACAAAAGAAACAGTATTTTTCAGTTCACCTCATACAAGTGCTGAAATGCAATTGCTTTATTGTGCAAGTGCAACTTACAAATGTAGAATTATTTTTTTTACATAAACTACTCTCAAAAACAAAACAATGTAAAACTTTAGGGCCTGCAAGTTGATGCATGAAGGGGCATATGAATGTTTAGCACATGTGGCACGTAAATACCTTGCGACGCTGGCTATAACAGTGCCATGTGAACGCCTGTTCTCACTTTCAGCTGACATTATAAATAAGAAGAGGGCAATATTATCTCCCATAAATGTAAACAAACTTGTTTGTCTGAGCGATTGGCTGAACAAGAAGTAGGACTGAGTGGACTTGTAGGCTCTAAAGTTTTACATTGTTTTGTTTTTGAGGGCAGTTATGTAAAAAAACGGCTACATTTGTAAGTTGCACTTTCACAACAAAGAGATTGCTCTATAGCACTTGTATGAGGTGAACTGAAAAATATCGTTTCTTTTGTTTATCTGGTTTACAGTGCAAATATTTTTAATAAAAATAACATAAAGTGAGCACTGTGCACTTGTATTCTGTTTTGTAAGTGAAATCAATATATTTGAAAATGTAGAAAAACATCCAAAAATATTTATAATAAATTTCAATTGGTATTCTATTATTGTTTAACGGTGCAATTCAAACTGCTATTAATCGCAACTGTTTTTTGAATGTAGTTAATTTGTTTTGTGTTAATCGCTTGAGTTAACTGCAATTAATTGACAGCCCTATTTGGACCTAGGGTTACTTAACTAGTTACAATCCTGTCTTATGGAGCGATGCTCACCCAAAGGCCTTCCAGTGTCGTTGATCTGGGCATGGCTGAAAGACTTCTTCATGAGACACGTATCTGGTGAAGGATCATAGCCATGTATCAGAGGGGTAGCCGTGTTAGTCTGGATCTGTAAAAGCGGCAAAGAGTCCTGTGGCACTTTATAGACTAACAGATGTATTGGAGCATAAGCTTTCATGGGTGAATACCCACTTCCTCAGATGCATATAGTGGAAATTTCCAGAGGCAGGTATAAATATGCAAGCAAGAATCAAGCTAGGGATAACGAGGTTAGTTCAATCAGGGAGGATGAGGCCCTCTTCTAGCAGTGGAGGTGTGAACACTAAGGGAGGAGAAACTGCTTTTGTCGTTGGCGAGCCAGTCACAGTCTTTGTTTAATCCTGAGCTGATGGTGTCCAATTTGCAAATGAACTGAAGCTCAGCAGTTTCTCTTTGAAGTCTGGTCCTGAAGTTTTCTTGCTGCAGGATGGCTACCTTGAAATCTGCTATTGTGTGTCCAGGGAGGTTGAAGCGTTCTCCTACAGGTTTCTGTATATTGCCATTCCTAATATCTGCTTTGTGTCCATTTATCCTTTTATGTAGGGACTGTCCAGTTTGGCCGATGTACATGGCAGAGGGGCATTGCTGGCACATGATGGCGTATATCACATTGGCGGACGTGCAGGTGAATGCAACCTGCTGGGGTGTTGAGAGGGTAAAGCCATTGCTGAGTGACGACAGAGCGGGGCCGGCGAGCGGGATAACTAGATGCCCCCCTCCAGAGCGTCCCCTCGCAGGGAAGAAAAGCAAGAGGAATGGGGCAGCATGGTCAGTATCTAGCTTTGAAGCGTAATTGGTTCTGCTGCAACCCCGAACAGTCCCTGCCCCCGAGGCAGTGGGGCTGGGCGTGGAGAGCGGCGCACCCGCGGGAGGAAGCGCCCCTTGCCTGGGGGTTGGCGTAGGGTAGCAGAGCCCCCTTAGCTAGTTATAAAAGGAGATTTTGCCTTCGGCTGCCAGTTTCGTGATGAGGGCAAGTTCAAAGTCCGCGTTGTGCACCCCAGTCCTGCGGAAGGCTCCAGGGTTACGGTTCTCTTCCCAGTAGTGATGCCAGTTCCCACCGCTGTCCGCACCGTAACCAAACACTGACACCTGCATGCAAAGCAGGCAAGGTCAGCAAAGCCCCAGGGTTTTGCAGTTGCAAAATAACAGGAACCTCCCTCCCACCCGACATAAAATGAAACATCCCCCCCGCCCCCCCCACACATACCATGCAGCTGCAGCTCCCATTCTGCCTGCCAGATGGCCAAGCCAAACCTGATGGCATTGCAACACTGGGCACCCAAGCACAATGCCTGGAGCAAGGCTCTACCCTGCAGGCTAGGAGCTGCCACTGGGGAGTGAGTGCAGGGCAGGCTCAGTCTGCAACCCCCGCGTCTCTCACTCTGAGGGCAGGGTCCCACCCACCCAAATGCCCTGGTGAGGGCAGGGGACTGAGAGAGGGGTAATTTGTGGTATTTTATTATGTACATGTAATAAAAAGAAATAAACAACATTTTTAATGGCTAAAACGAAATAACAAGAAATGCCCCCCAAAATTAAAAAATGTTATTAAAAAAAAAGGCACAAGGAACTAGGTCGCAGTAAAGGGCATGCTGAGCTCCCCTGATACCACGCTGAGCTGCCCTGGGGCCACGCTGAGCTCCCCCCATACCACTCTGAGCTCCGCCCGATACCACGCTGTGCTGCCCCGGGGCCACGCTGAGCTCCCCCCGATACCACGCTGTGCTGCCCCGGGGCCCGCTGAGCTCCCCCCGATACCACGCTGAGCTGCCCCGGGGCCCGCTGAGCTCCCCCCGATACCACGCTGAGCTGCCCCGGGGCCACGCTGAGCTCCCCCGATACCACGCTGAGCTGCCCCGGGGCCACGCTGAGCTCCCCCGATACCACGCTGAGCTGCCCCGGGGCCACGCTGAGCTCCCCCGATACCACGCTGTGCTGCCCCGGGGCCACGCTGAGCTCCCCCGATACCACGCTGTGCTGCCCCGGGGCCACGCTGAGCTCCCCCCGATACCACGCTGAGCTGCCCCGGGGCCACGCTGAGCTCCCCCCGATACCACGCTGTGCTGCCCCGGGGCCACGCTGAGCTCCCCCCGATACCACGCTGTGCTGCCCCGGGGCCACGCTGAGCTCCCCCCGATACCACGCTGTGCTGCCCCGGGGCCACGCTGAGCTCCCCCCGATACCACGCTGAGCTGCCCCGGGGCCACGCTGAGCTCCCCCGATACCACGCTGTGCTGCCCCGGGGCCACGCTGAGCTCCCCGATACCACGCTGAGCTGCCCCGGGCCACTACTCCCCGATACCACGCTGAGCTGCCCCGGGGCCACGCTGCTCCCCGATACCACGCTGTCTGCCCCGGGGCCACGCTGAGCTCCCCGATACCACGCTGAGCTGCCCCGGGGCCACGCTGAGCTCCCCCCGATACCACGCTGTGCTGCCCCGGGGCCACGCTGAGCTCCCCCCGATACCACGCTGAGCTGCCCTGGGGCCACGCTGAGCTCCCCCCGATACCACGCTGAGCTGCCCTGGGGCCACGCTGAGCTCCCCCCGATACCACGCTGAGCTGCCCTGGGGCCACGCTGCACTGCCCAGGTACCATGGTACACTGCTGATAAAAGGGAAGCTCCTCTTATGGATCAGTAACCAGTTAAAAGACAGGAAACAAAGGATAGGGCTAAATGGTCAGTTTTCAGAATGGGGAGAGGTAAATAGTGGTGTCCCCCAGGGATATGTACTGGGAGCTGGGCTGTTCAACATATTCATAAATGATCTGGAAAAAGGGGTAAACAGTGAGGTGACAAAATTTGCAGACAATACAAAATTACTAAATATTGTTAAGTCCAAAACTGACTGTGAAGAGTGAAAAAGGGACCTCACAAAACTGGGTGACTGGGAAACAAAATGGCAGATGAAATTCAGTGTTGATAAATGCAAAGTAATGCACATTGGAAAACATAATCCCAACTCTACATACAAAATGATGGGGTCTAAATTAGCTGTTACCACTTGAGAAAGAGATCTTGGAGTCATGGTGGATAGTTCTCTGAAAACATCTGCTCAAAGTGCAGCGGCAGCAAAAAAGGGAATAGAATGTTGGGAGATCATTAGGAAAGTGATACAAAATATCATAATGCCTCTACATGGACCGGGGTGGCGTCCCGAGCCTCTGTTTGCCAGAAGCTGGGAATGGGTGACAGGGGATGGATCACTTGATGATGACCTGCTCTGTTCATTCCCTCTGGAGCACCTGGCATCGGCCCCTGTTGGAAGACAGGATACTGGGCTAGATGGACCTTTGGTCTGACCCAGTATGGCTGTTCTTATGGTCTTACGCCTGGGTACCATGTTGAGCTGCCCAGGTACCACGCTGCAGTTTGTGGCAGAGGCGAGCAAGGGCACCAAGGGGGCCTACAGGCAGCCAGCTGCAGCAAGGGTGGTGTGAGCTGGCTACCTATGGTCTCAGCATGGAGGCTGAAGCTGGCATCTGCTCAAGACTCCTCTGATCATAGCATCTGGACAACGTCTGTCTCCATCCTTTCCTGCCTCATCACAGGCCAAGGGCATTGGCCCCACCCACTTGGACACTTACCTGATCACAGGTGTGCAAGGCAAAAAGCAATGCTGTGAAGCCCGTGGATGGATACCTCCCATGGTGCTGTGTCCACTTGTCATGGATGTATTTGAGAAAGGCAGGGTTCAGGATTAGCACCTGAGAGGAGAACAGAACAGGGCCAATGCTACGAGATTCTGTCATCATCCTACCCAGTACTAAGAGGCCATGCCCGGAAGGCGCAAACCCAGCCCCAGCTCACCGCTGACACTTCTGTGTGCGTCACTGTCCTGGAAGGGTTAGAGAATATCTCAGTGAGAGCCCATCTGGGATTGTGTGCACAGGTCAGGGCCTCGCTGATGGGGCAGAGATTAGTACCTAGAAAGGGTGAGCTTAATTCAATAGCGCTCCTGCCCTGATGGGAGCTACTTTGCTCTGAGACGAATGGCCCATATTGGGTCTTGGCGTACTGTGGGCAGCTTACCACAGCAGGAGAACACGCACCACAGTGGCAGCCCACTCCTGAGAGCCTTCTGGGACGCTGTAACCAGCTGCTGCCGGAAACGGCCAGGCCTGGGAATGCTACGCTTGGCTGGCCAAGAGGCTCTGGGAGAGCTCTCGTGCCCTTTGCTGTTTCCGAGCAGCGTCAGGAGCTTGGAGCTCTGCACTGGCTAGCCAGGAAAGATGGAGGGCTCCTGCAGGCGGTTCTGAGGAAGACCTGCTCTGTGAGGCTGGGTGCGTTTGTCGCCTCAGTGACTGGATTCCTGGTGTGTCTCAGGGATCCCAGAGCACAACTGGCCATCAGGCCTTTAACATGCTGGAAGCCACTTGACAAGCACCTGCGCCAGACTCTTAACGTACAGACTTTGTGGCTCCAGCCTCCCATGCAAGCGGGTTCCATGGTTAGTCCTTGGCCACTTGATCAAAGTTTATGGAAATTCTTAGATATCCCCCGCCATTAAGCAGTGTCAGGAAACTGTAAATGTCTGGCAATGTATCGGTAAGGGCCTCCGATAACCATTCTCCCCACAGACCTGGCCATCCTCTACCCAGACTCAGGAAGCAAATGTCCAGAACATGAGGTGGCTGGTGCTGGCTGTGTCCCCAGCCAGCCCTTACCTTGCTTTTGTCAGCTTTAATGAACTGTTTGACTCTTGTGTACGTGCTACAAAGGAAGAGGAAGTGTGGTCAGTGGAAAGTGGTGTCCTCAGTACCATACGCATGGCTTTCTTCTGGCCCTACCCATGACTTCTACAATCCACCAGGGATGAGGCTAATGCCTGAGCAGACCTTCTCGGGAGCTGAATGGCTGCCTCCTCAACGGTACGTCTGCTGGAGCTGCTGTCTCCTTGGCACCATGCACTGACCTCAGCTCAGGAGGCAGGAAGCCTTTCAGCACAATGCCATTAAGCCACTGAGCCAGCCCCTGTGTGATGTGGCACATGTCTGAACACCAGTGCTGGAGCCATCAGCCATGAGACGTGTCCCTTCCCCGAGGTCTGTACAAATGTTTTCACCCTCTCTAACCAGCTTCAGGTCTGCCCTGTCCTTCGCCACCCTCTGGGGTTTAGTGAGCCAAGTCGAACGTCATGTCCGGCGTGTGCCCCAGCCTGAGGGGGAGGAGCTCCTGAGCCCCTCAACCTCCCAAGGGAGCCACTGAGCCCCCACAAGGGACGAGGCAGGAGCAATCTAGCTTCCCAGAGCAAAGCCCCCATCCTGGGGGGAGGGGCAGCGCCAGTGTCCTGGGGACCCCCCATCCCTCATTCTAGGGTGGGGTCATCCTTCTGGTGGGCCTCCTGAGTCTCCTCTCCTTGGACACAGGGGTGAATCAGCTTCCACAAGTCAATGGAGCCTGGGCACCACCTAAGCCCCATCTCGTGTGGAGATTTGTGCTGTGGGCACACTGGAGCCCACTGCCCCATGGGATGAGCCAGCACCCCCAGAGCCACCTCAGGCCTTGCATCTTGGGAGGACCCAAGAGACTACTCAGCCTCCACCAGGGGCAAATGAGCCTCCTGCCTAGGACGCTGCCCTCAGAGGATCCCCCTCCCCCTCAGCAGATCAGGCCCCATGCTCACTAGCGCAGTTTCCCTGTGGAGAAGGCACTGGTCACCCATTTCAGGTCCAGTGCTTTAAAGGGAACCAGCACCAGGTGGACACCAGGCTGGAGGTCCACAGCACTCTCTGGGTACATAAAGTGGTGCGTTGTCCTCGTGCCAACATCCTCCTCGAACCCAGCAGTCTGCGCCCTGTTCATCCTGGGGGCATGAGGAGAGAGCACAGCTGAGTCTGCTGTAACATGCATGCTGGGCACTCCCTGCCTCCCAGGGGGCCCTTCCTGGCCAGCAGGAGGGAATGGGGCTCAGGGCCCACCATGGCCAGCTGGGTGGGGGATGGGGATTGGGGCCTAAGTTCCCTCTAAGCTTCATGGCCATGCAACCATGCAAAAGCCTATTAGACACCGCACAGGTGCTCAAGGCTGCGACAGGGAAAGATTCCTCCCCCAGCCCCAACCCAGCCTGGCCTGGACCTGCCTCGGCCGTGGGACAGGTGCCTCTCTCACGGTCCCAACCCAGCTGCGGCCAGAGCTGCTGCGGCGGGAAGAGGCGTGCCTCTCCCCCAGCCCAGGTGCTGCTGCAGGGAGTTATCTCTCCCCATCACAGCCCCGGGGCAGCCTCACCCCCCACCCATCTCCACCCAACCGTCTGCCCCAGCCCTGAGCCCCTCATCCCTGGCCCCATCCCAGAACTCGCACCCCTAGCCAAAGCCCTCACCCCCCCTGTACCCCAAGCCTCTGCCCCAGCCCTGAGCCCCCTCCCACACTCCGAAACCCTCGGCCCCCACCCCCACCACATGAATTTTGTTATGTGCATCAGTATGGAGGTGATGTGTGACACATCACCTCCATATTGGTGCACATAACAGAATTCAGTCTGCACCTGGCTGGGAAAAATTAGAGGGAACCCTGAGGGGCCCGCCCTGGCCACCTGGGTGGGAGATGGGGCTCGGGGCCCGCCTTGGCCACCTGGGTGGGAGATGGGGCTCGGGGCCCGCCCTAGCCAGCCAGATGAGGGATGGGGCTCGGGGCCCGCCCTGGCCAGCTGGGTGGGAGATGGGGCTCAGGGCCCGCCTTGGCCACCTGGGTGGGAGATGGGGCTTGGGGCCCGCCCTAGCCAGCCAGATGAGGGATGGGGCTCGGGGCCCGCCCTGGCCAGCTGGGTGGGAGATGGGGCTCGGGGCCCACCCTGGCCAGCTGCGTGGGAGATGGGGCTCGGCGCCCCCCTGGCCACCTGGGTGGGAGATGGGGCTCGGGGCCCACCCTGGCCAGCTGCCTGGGAGATGGGGCTCGGGGCCTGCCCTGTCCAGCTGCGTGGGGGATGGGGCTTGGGGCTCGCCCTGGCTGGCAGGAGGGAATGGGGCTTGGGGCTCACCCTGGCTGGTTGGGTGTGGAGTGGGGCTCAGGGCTCACTCTGTCTGGCTGGGGGCTCAGGGCCTGCCCTAGCTGGGAGGGAAGAATGGGGTATGGGTATTGCAATGGCTGGGAGGATGGGCTGGGGCAAGGAAGCCATCCTGGCCAGCAGGGAATTGGGGGGCTAAGTGGCTGGGAGCTGGAGCTGTCTGTCATCGTGGCTGGTGCTCACTGGGGCTGCTAGCCCAAGCTGGCTGGTTTTTTACGTTCAGATATAGCCCCAGAGCTGTGTCCCGCTCTCCTCCAGCAGCTCCCAGGTGAGCTGAAACATGGTGCATGAGGGAAGACAGTGGGAGATGGTGATACAGATTCCAGAGAGTGCCTCCTACACGGCCTGGGAACTCCTTCCCGCCCAATGACCCGGTGGCCGAAGGGCCGTTGGGCCCTCAGCAGCCTGGCTGCAGTGCCGGGTGCCTCCTCATGGCTTGTTGGGAGGGAACAGCACCGTGAGATGCCCCCAGGGCAGGACAAGGTCCCGGGATCATCTATGCCTTTGCTGGGGCTCTACCCTTGGCCTGTGGACAGAGATTTACTCTGCTCAACCAGAGCGGCTGCAGGGGGCTGGGCCCATTGGAGAGGCGGCAAAAGAACAGGGGGTGAGCCGGCTCTGTCCCACTCACCTCAGAACCCAGTGGTGGGAGTCGATCTCTCTCCCGTGGTGGGAGCCCCTCAGGCGCCCAGAGTTCCCCACCACTGCACACATCCTGCAGCGGGAGATGGGCCGAGCATCCATGGTTGGGGATGGAAGAATGTCAAACATTTGCTGGATTATTCCCTGGAACTGGGCACTGCTCTGCGAGCCCTGCAGCTTCTAAAGGAACAAGAACAAAGCTATGGCATGTCCGTGGTGCCACCGAGCCCAATGTCCAAAAGGCAATGCCTTCTCTGCAGAGGCCAGAAAGGCTGTGAGCCCAACCCAGCTGTGCTCAGGGGGCACACAGCACGCCCCAGCTCCTGCTCTGCTACACCCCCTTTTTGCAGTGGAATGGCTGGGGCAGTCCTCCCAACCCTACCTGCGCAATTTTGCCCAGGGCTGCCCCAAGCTCCTTGCCAGCGGAGCTCTGCTGGCCACATGGGTGCATCTCCACTAGGTATGTTGGTGGAATGAAGTTGGGAATTTTTTAATAATATGTATGACTCTGGTGTGTGCCTCAGTTTCCCTGATACATTGCATGGCTGCCCAGTAGGGGACAAGGATTAAGTTTGCTCTCAGGGCAGACTAAGGGACCCAGGCACCGACTTTCCAAAGTGCTCGACTTCTGGGTCTGCCCTGACCCTGCCCCACTTTACCCCTTTCCCCAAGGCCCCACCCCCTGCCCCACCTCTTTTCACCCACACTCCACCCCCACCCCACCTCTTCCTGCTCAGTTCCACCCCCTCCCCCTAGCTTGCCACATTCTCGCTCCTCCCCCTTCCAGCCTCCCTGAGAAACAGCTGATCATGATGGGCGGGAGGCACGAGGAGGGAGCAGAAGGTGCTGATGTGGCGGGGCCTGCCGGCAGGTGGGAAGTGCTGGGGTATGGGGAGGATCTGATAAGGGGGCTGCCAGTGCATGCTCAGCAGCCACCTACCATTTTCCCCTGTGGGTGCTCCAGCCCCAGAGCACCCCCAGAGTCGGCGCCTATGGGTCTGTGCGCCACCTCCCTGTCTGGGTGGACTGAAGAGTCATTGAGGAACTGGTTGAAATTCACCCCGTTCAACAACGGGGCCAGCAAAAACAATGCAAACTCCAGTGCCTCATGGATTTTGCTGCCTCTCAGCAGGGAAGTCGGGCGGGGAGCCCAGTTTACGCACACAGGACCCGAAGGGGGGCTGTGGGGCTTCTGGAGGAAGCTGGGAGTTCTCTCACCTGGGAACGGACACAGAGGGTCAAACTGAGAGAGAGACAGAGCCTGAAAATAGGGTTCACTACAGCATGGCTGGGGCTCTGGGCTGAGCAGACTGGACTGTGCTAAGCTTCAATTCTCTGTACTAACCTAAGGACCTCCCATGCTGCGTGCCAGGGGACTAATAAACCCAACGGGTTTGAAACTGGTTTGAAATGCATCCGATGACGTGAGCTGTAGCTCATGAAAGCTCATGCTCAAATAAATTGGTTAGTCTCTAAGGTGCCACAAGTCCTCCTTTTCTTTTCACTGTTTGAGTGTCCCTCTGAATACTTGGTGAGGTGCATTAATCCCTGCAGAGCGGACAAGTCTCTCCCAGGAGTCCGTCTCGGTTGGACTCGCTGAACAGAGCTCACAGAGGTTCAATCTTAGGAGGCAGTGAGGCCAGGTGTCCTACCCTGAGGGAAGAGTGAGACCCTGGGAGGTCTGGCACATCAAAGGGGTTCCTCCAAGAGACTGCTCCAAACCTGGGGGTGTAGCAGTGATCTTGTGGCACCACGAGGTAGCTGACACACAGCCCCATCCTGATGCAGAGCGGGCCAGCGGAGCTAACAGGCCAAGTTAAGGCCGATGGGTTCCCTCGACCTGTGACCTTCTGGGAACGCTCCAAACAGCCTGGCTTTTCCTTGGGTGTGAGTGACTCTGGGTGAGCTAGCTCAGCTCATGGGCCCCTTGCTGCTCCCTGCAGCTCCCACTCTCTGTGCGTGCACCGGGCCCCCAAAGTGGCTCCTGGCTGAGCTAAGCGCAGCTATAGAGGCAGCTGCAGGCGTCAGAGCAGGGAGCTGCATGCAGTGGACAGATGCAGCCACCAGGGACTTGGGAGGGGCCAGCTGAGCAGTTTGTCCTGCAGACCGGCTAGTAGATGTGGCTGCCCTTTTCTACCCCAGCCTCCTCCTCCCAGAGGGATCCATGTGGGGGCGACAGGAGCACAGAACAGGCTTTCTGCATGGACAGCTGCTTGGGGAATGTGAAAGCGCCCTAGCCCTGGCCCTACACCCCCCAACCAAGGAGCACGGCAGCAGGGGCAGGCACCCACCCCCACAAGTTTCTGCTGGCCTCGTCAGCTGCTACAGCCTGTCTCCTGGGACCAGTCCTACAAAGGAGCCAGCCCTTGGCACTCAGAGCATCCCTATGTTTGATACCCACCCATGCCATGGTGTCATGCCCCAGGCCTCTGCTTTGCCCTTGCCACAATGCTCTGAGGAGCCCAAGGATGGGCTCTGCCGCCAACAGCCGCAGTAGGAGGTGCCTGTATTGGTTCAACTGCTGTGACTCTGTAACTCACCAGCCACCACGACAGAACGTCTGGGGCGATCTCGGAGGTGTGCATCGTCAGCAGGGGATTTATCACTGAGTCGTACCGTTCGTTAAACCAGGCTGAGCTGCCGAGCTCCACAATACAGCTGACGCAGCCACAGGACTGGGCCTCTGAGACAGACGCGGGCCCTAGTATGTCTCCAAGGCTCCAGAAAGAGGCTGAATGCCCCAGGTACAAGGACTGATAAACCTGCCACAGGGCAGGCACCATGCACAGGGCTGTAGCAGCCCACAACTTCTTCCAGTGCAGCATCTTTCACTCCACCAGCTCCTCCCAGTGGGTCCGTGTGCGGTGTTCAGGGTCACTGCCTGTGGGCATCTGGGCCCAGTCGCAGTTTTCCTGCTCTTATGGGAAGAACGGGAGCCTTTCCTGGGTAGCTGGACATCCCCAAGAACAGAAGGAAGGGGTCAGTATGTCCAGCACACTCAGGAGCCACTGGAGGTTTCCAAGCCCTGATCGCAAGTCAGCGTTAACCCAGCCTGGCACCAGTCCCCCACAGCTCTGTGCAGGGGGTAGCTTCTTCTGGGCGTTGGCTCTCTCTGTCCCAGCCTGAAACAGACCAGATAAGGAGTATCAGTACAGAGGACAGTGCCAGGGGAGAGTCTTGCTGTGACTAGCCGTCATTCAGGACAGTCTGACAACACTGACTAGGCTGAGGACAGGAGGAGGGGATACCTGTATGGCAGAATTAAAGGGCTCACTGCATGGTCTGCAGCGGAGTCACACTGGAGCTGGACTGGATGGGAGGGTCACACCGCAACTGGCACTGATTCTGTGCCAAGGTAGTGCAGATCTGAGGCTGCAGTTTTCAAACTTTGGAACCAAAAGTTGTGCACCTACATCCAGATGACATCTTCCAGCGCTGGGGGCAAGCGAGGTGGAGGCAGAGCCCACCCTGCTCCTTACAGTGCCTGTGAGAGACTTACAGACCCTCCTGTTCATCTATGTCATAGCCACATCTGTGGGTAGGTCATCACTATGGGACCTAGATGAGCCACAGGGGCAGAGTTAAGGTGGTTTGAATGTTCTGGCTTTCATGTGTTTCTTTCTGTAATTAAATGCTCCAATATGTTTTTCTAAGTAATGTAAATATATTAGTAATTTATTGTTATGGTATTTTTTTTCCTGAGAATATGAACCCCTCTGTCATGAATAGGGAGAAGGGTAGCAACCTTTATGTATGCAGTAGCATAAAATCCCTCCTTGGCAACTGTACAGGATTGCCTGACCTCTAAGGGGTTAAGCAGTTCAAATAACCTAGTTGGAACCTGACCAGAAGGACCAATGAGGAAAGAAGACACTTTCAAATCTGGGGGTAGGGGGGGATTTGTTTGTGGTTCTCTTTTGTGGTTCCCCCTCTGGATGGAGAAAGAAGCCAAGCAGGTATAATATCTCCCAAAAATATACCTGGAATAATCCATCTAAAACCACAGAAATTGTAAGTAGGGCAAGGAAATGCGTTAGGTTATCTTTTGTTTTGACTTGTGAATTTTCCTATGCTACAGAGGTAGTTTTTTTTCCTGTTTTTGTAACTGTGAAGCTGAGCCCAGAGGTGAAGCCTCTGTGTTTAAAATCTTTTTATTATCCTGTACAGTTACCTTCCATCCTGATTTTGCAGATGTGATTCTTTTACTTTTTTCTTTATAAATATCTTTTTTTAAGAACCTGTTTGATTGCAGTGTCCTGAAGACAAAGGGTCTGGTCTGTGCTCACATTGCTAAGGCAACTGGTTGGTATATTATTCTCAAGCCTCCCCAGGAAAGGGGGTGAAGGGGCTTGGGTGGATATTTTGCGGGGGGATAGGGATTCCAGGTGACCCTTCCCTGAATTTTTGTGTAAATCACTTGGTGGTGGCAGCAATACCATCCAAGGACAAGGAAAGGAATTTGTGCCTTGGGGAAGTTTTAACCTAAACTGGCAAAATATAAGCTTAGGGGGTCTTTCATGTGGGTGCCCACATCTGTACCCCAGAGTTCAGAGTAGGGGGGGAACCCTGACAGCCTCAAATCTACATTTAATGCAGAGTCCAAGCAGAGAATTTAAACACATGTAAGTCAAGAAATTCAAACGTTATGGTTCCAGAAGCATTAACAGCCCCATTTTCCAGATATGATATATGCAACAAGTGCAATGTGGGGGCATCAGCCTTGCTGGGGGAACCTCACCCCTTTGTTTAAATTCTCAGCCTTTGTGTTCCAGTGATATAGGCTTCCCATGCAATTTCCTTTGAAAAACAATGTTGGTCCTTGCTTAGCTCTGGCTAAGTGAGGCCCAAAGACAATCCCCTCCACTGCCCCAGGAGGCAGTGGGCCAGGAACAAATAAACCACGTGCACTGCCAGCCCACATTTTCCCCTGGCTTTGGCACATGCACAGCGGGACCCTCACGCTACCATTCCCAACAGAGAAGAGTTCCGTGTGTCATGTGACAAACCCAGACCTTCAAAGCATTGCAGTTTCAGGAACACTCAGCAATGCCAAAGGACTCCAGCCCCTGGTGAGGATCCAGAACCAGGGCCCAGCCATTCTTTTAAATTATTTCGCGGCCAAACCCTCTCCAGCAGATAAGATCAGAAAAGAAGGATTTCCCACCCACTGTGCCCTGACTCAGAGAAGCTAAAAGTCTTTTGCATTAAGTCCCCAGACATTAAGTCCCCTTTGAGCTGAGCCCCAGAATGGGAAGGGTCCTCCCAAAAGGAAAGAGCAGGCCTCATCTTGCCAGGGGCAGTGTGATGCTGTATGGTTGAATAGTATCATTATATCAGTGATATTACCACTGCTAGACAATTGCAACAAATCATATACAAAGCATGTCATGTGAGGTGTCAATGGAAAAGTTAACCATTCACAACTCTCTTCTTTTCTTTTCTTATTAAACCTTTAGTTTTTAGTTACGAAAGGATTGGCGTCAGCGTGATTATTAGGTAAGATCTGAGTTATATATTGACCTGGCTAAGTGGCTGACCCCTTAGGATTAGAAGGACCCTATATTTGATTAAATTGGTTTTCAGTAATCACTCATCATACAGTCCAGTGTCTGGGTGGTGAGCCAAGGGCTGGAATGCCTAAGGAGAGTGCATTTTTGACTTCTTGTTAGCCAGTGTGGTGAGACAGACGTTCACTTTTGTTACTGGCTTAGTATAATCTAATGATAGGCTAACCAGCAGTTTGGGGTGAGTCTGCCCTATTTTTCAGTGGTCTGTCTGGAATCTGGTATTCTCAGCTCAACTGAGGCACCGTGACAGCCTGACTCCCACTTGAGTTCAGCAGGAGTTAGGCACACGTAGCACCTGTTAGTATTGGGCCATCCCCACTGAAGTGCTCCAAGCATGCTGCCAGGCAACTGCTGTCACCCTGAGGCTCACAAGAAACACCTGGAAGAGTTTGAAGAGGATGAGGACCTCTGGGTCCAGATCAAGGCTGCAGCCCTGTTATTCATAGGGTATTAGAGAGTACCCTGCAAGGCACTGGGCTTTCCACCAGAAATAACCCAGCTGCTGAAGCAGCAGGCCTATTCATGTGAGCAAGCGGGCAGATTGGTATTCAAGACCCCAGGAAAAATGAAGAAATCTCCCAGATGGTGCTGCCCCAGAGCAACTGACATGCTGCTCCAAGTCTACCCTGTTGTTGTGGTCCACTCTGGTACCAAAAGAGAGAGCTGAATGTCCACAGAAGGTTGTACCTGGTTGTACCTGGTGGGTCTGGGTCTGTGGTTGTTCTCCTGGGGAGAGGCGGACAGGGTAGAGCTATGCTGTAAGAAGTTTTGGGCCAGGTATGAAAAATCCTCAGTATCATACCTAGAAACTACTCATTTGAAACCCCAGGTATGTAAGTAGATCAGGAAATGTCTAGGAAGACGTGATTAGGTTTCTCTCTCTTTATTTCTTTACGGCTTGTGGATTCCTCTGCGCTAAGCTCAGGTGCTTTTGTTTTGCTTGTAACCTTTAGGCTGGACCTCAAGAAAGCGATTCTTGGTGCTTAATTGTTTTTTTTTTTTTAATCTAGCAAAAGCCTAAGTTCCCAGACGTATTTTCTTTCTTTTTTTTATTAATAAAATTTACCCTTTTTAAGAACAGAATTAGATTTTTTGTGTCTTAAGAGGTTTGTGCACATATTTAATTAGCTGGTGGCAACAGCTAATTTCCTTTTTTTCTTTTTCTTCCTCAGCTTGTGTGTGTGTGTGTGAAGGGGCTTGAGGGTACCCCTCAGCAAGGAATTCCAAAGTGCGCCTTCCTAGGTTCTCAAAGGGGTTCTGCACTCGGGTGCTGGCAGCATCTACCCATCCAAGGTCAGAGAAAAGCTGTGACCTTGGGAGTTTAATACAAGCCTGGAGTGGCCAGTTTTTTTAATTTTTAGAATCCTTGCGGGCCCCCACCTTCTGCACTCGAAGTGCCCTAGTGGGGAATTAGCCTTGACAGAGGCAATTAAATGTCCAGGCACACGGATCCCCAGTGCAGAAGTCTGGGGGGTTCCATAGTAGTTAAGGCAGAAACAACCTCCTGTATAATGCAGGTCACTAAATATCATCCACTACAGAAATAATGTGGACAAATTGGAGAGAGTCCAGAAGAGGACAATGAAAATGATTAGGGGGCTGGGGCATATGATTTACAGGGAAAGAGGCTGAGGGAACTGGGATTGTTTAGTCTGCAGAAGAGAAGAGTGAGGGGGGATTTGAAAGCTGCTTTCAACTACCTGAAAGGGGGTTCCAAAGAGGATGGCTCTAGACTGTTCTCAATGGTAGCAGATGACAGAACAAGGAGTAATGGTCTCAAGTTGCAGTGGGGAAGGTCTAGGTTGGATATTAGGAAAAACTATTTCACTAGGAGGGTGGTGAAGCACTGGAATGCGTTACCTAAGGGGGTGGTGGAATCTCCTTCCTTAGAAGTTTTTAAGGCCCGGCTTGACAAAGCCCTGGCTGGGGTGATTTAGTTGGGGATTGGTCCTGCTTTGAGCAGCGGGTCGGACTAGATGACCTCCTGAGGTCCCTTCCAACCCTGAGATTCTATGGTTCTATGATCCTGGTACTCCTGGTTTGAGCCCAAGACTTGAACTAGACCAAAGCATTTCAGTCCTCAGGAGACTAAGCTGTTCTGTGCAAAAGGCAGAGAATGGGAGCAGATGAGGGGGCGAGGCCTTGTTCCTAGGGAACTCTGGACTTTAAAGGCCTCCCCCTCCCCCCCCATCTGCCCAGTGCAATGGGAACTGACCCTTCCCCTCTGCACTTGGCCACGCCGTGGGCCTGAGTGAAGCCCAAGCAAACTCTGCTCCTCTGAGGAAAGGCGCAATCAATGGAGAGCCAACATGGGGTGGCCGCCTCCCCTAGAACTGCAGCCCTGGTGGCTGGTTTAAAATAACAAAGAGACAACCCAGGCTGGAGGTGCCCCCGTATCCAGGAACCTGCTCCCCACCTGTGTGAGTAGGGCAGTCTCCCTGCCCCTCCCTGCAGCCTGCCAAGATGCTGGGCATGCAGGTAGGGCCCATGTGCTGGCACATGTCCCTGCAGACTGCATTACAAAGACACTGCTGTGCCAGGGCAGAATGTAGGCCCCGCTCTTGCGCTGCTGGACACTCACCTGGGCGGCACCGAGGCGTGAAGATGACAAGTGAGCGTCCCAGCCTCAGAGGCTGGGGGCTTCAGCATGCGCCTTGCAGCTCCCAACTCTCTCTCCTCGCTCACTGCGCTGGGCAGGGCACACACTTCCGTTTTCTGAACAGAAACTAGCTGTACAGAGCACAGGGGAAATCTGCAGCCCACAAGACTGATAACAACTGAAAACGGCCTGAGGAGCGTGCGCATTGAGGGCTGACTGACGGCACTCCAGGGCCACCAGAGCCGGGCTCAGGAGAGCTTGTGCTGGGCTGGGTGACTCACAGAGAGCTGGGGGGTTTGGGGAGCTATTACTGTGGGTGCTTTCCGAGTCACCCCTCAGAGTGGGTTCTGGGACTGCCACACAGTTCCCATGGAGCAATCCTGCATGGGCCTGGCCTCCCCTGGCACCCTCGGGGAGGGAGAAGCCAGAAGATCCTGCAAAGCTACATGGATCTCAGCCCCTTGGCTGCATGTACCCATGCAGCAGGGCTCCCCAGACTGCCCCACAGGGCCCTCTGTGCCAGGGGGCAGGCACAAACCTGCTGCCCCTGCCAAGGGGATCTTGTGGCTGATGCCCTTCCCCCACTGATGATCCAGACCCCATAGGATCCCAGAGAGCAGCACATGCCGGGGAGGTGCTATCCCCTTCCCCCAACCCCCTGCAGGGGTGCCAGGGTGGTGGCCTCCCACAGCACAATGTCCAGGCCAGCATGTGCCTCCTAGGGCACTGCAGGCCTCAGTCCCACAGGTATAAAGGTCAGTATGTTCAAAATCTAATGGCTGGGTGTCACGGAGTCCCCGGGCGATGCTCTGGAGCTGCTCCCTATGAAGCCAGGCAGGACTCTGGGGGAGCCTCCTCTCTGTGAGCAGCCCGTCTGCAGGACACACAGCTCCCACAGCTTCCACCTTCCTGGGTCTGACCTCGGAGCATCCAGCATCCTCTGCCCCTCCGTGCGCTTCCCCCAGCAAGTCCGCCCAGGCAGGTTCCTGGGGAAGCCAGAGGGTCCTGCCCCCCAACTCCGCAGTCAAACGTGACTCTTAGCCAGCCAGTAAAACAGAGGTTTATTAGATGACAGGAACACGGTCTACAACAGAGCTTGTAGGTACAGAGAACAGGACCCCTCAGCCGGGTCCATTTTGGGGGGTCAGTGAGCCAGACAACCAAGTCTGCCCTTCACTCCATGTCCCCAGGCAGCCCCAAACTGAAACTCTCTCCAGCCGCCCCTCCTCTGGGCTTTGTCCCTTTCCCGGGCCAGGCGGTCACTTGATTCCTTTGTTCTCCTACCCTTTAGCTCTCACCTTGCGGGGGGGAAGGGCCCAGGCCATCAGTTGCCAGAAGATAGAGTGTAGGACATTTGTGTGCACTGGCCCTTTGCTCTGCAACAATATATCCCCTTAGCCCACCACCTAGAGACTTAAGAAATGCATAGGGGAAACTGAGGCACCCCTACAGTATTCAGAGGAAACATTAAGAAAGGTCCCACTTCGTCACACTGGGTTTGGGACGCGCACATGCACCCAAACAACATCTCCCATGCTGCACCATGGCCAGGGACTACCACGATTCTCTGCCTGCCCTTCCCAAGAGGAAGACCACAGTGTGCCACGGGAGACACAGTCAAACCCAAAGGTGAGCGGGAGCACAAGCCATCTGAATGCCAGCTCCTGGGAGGCACCGCAGCAGCATCCCCAAGTCAAATATTGTGGTTTTTCAGCTGAATTCTTTCCATTTTTGGACTTTTTTTTGCTAATTCCATTTCCACTGAAAAAAACCCAAATTTTCCGAAGAACACCGAGACGGAAATGAAGGCTCCCGTCATGTGCATTACATTGCCCACGTCAAGGCCCAGTTTTCATCCGAGTGACCGCTCCAGCCTGAGCACCGCCTGTGCCATCCCTGCTGCCTTCCCGCGGGGGCTGACGTACCGGCTGCTCTCGAAGGCTCGGGCTGCTCAGCGGCACCACCGCCTTCGGTCACTGTGCAGCAGAGCCAGCAACACAGGCGGGGAGAGCCAGAGGCACAGACCCACCCTTCCCAGGGCACTGACTGCTGGCCCCAGTCACACCCAGCCTTGGCTCACCCTGTCGGCGCTGGGGGCCGAGGCTGTGCACAGCCCTGTACGGGGATGCTGGGAACGTGTCAGGATCAGAGGAGGGCAGAGGAGCAGCCAAACTCCGAGGGAAGAAGGCTGTTATTGGAGATTCATAGATGGGGGGGGGGGGGGGAGAGGCCATGTAAACCAGCTGCTTCCCAAAGCCCTGTCCTGCAACTGCAGTGCAAGAAAGGGTGGCAGCAGCCAGCGCTGGGTGAAACTGCCAGTTCCTGGCACACATCCCAGCTCAAGGGAGAGGAGCTTGGAGGCTGACTGTGGGTCTCACCTTGCCCCCCTCAGACCAATGACGCGGCAGTGTGCACTTGGCTTTGGCAAGGGCCTACCCCTCTACCTTGCCCAGCCCACCTGCAGGGTGGCAGTTGCTAGCGAGTATGTGAATGGCTTTGGGGCTCATTAGGTGGGGGTGGCTACAGGTCCCTTGGATGGCGCAAGCTGCTTTGGAGGCAGGGTTTCCCCAGCTGAGTCCTGGGATTGTGATAGTGGGAAGAGGCGGCATGTGACGCAGGTGTATCCAAGTGCCAGATACCTAGGGGAGTGGCATAGCCACTTGGCCTCTGTGGCTTCGTCTGCTGTGGGAAAGGATATAGTGCTGGCTTGCGCCTGCAAACCGGAGCAGGGTGGGGTGGGGGTTCTCTTTTTGTCCCTTTCTTCTCTCACGTTTTAGCACTTAAATGAGGAGTGTGTGAGACAGAGCAGGTTGCAGCTTCTCTTGGAGAGCTAGGAGAGGTCCTTTCTGGCAGTGCCTCCCTACAATCTGTCTGCAGCAGAGCCCACAGCTGCAGCAAGGACCCCAGCATCTCTTCTTCACACATGTGCAGCTGAACTCAGCTGTCTACGGGTCTTTGACAGGTCCAAACACCAAGGTGGGAGGGGAGCTAGGAGCAGAACTAGGCATGGGGTGGGGGGTGGGGGATGTTAAGATAGGAAACTCTTAGGTTCAGACTCTGGTAATCTCCCTGGCAGTGAGATGTACTCAGCTGGGGAACAAGCTCTCTGGGAAATGGAGGAAGATGGAGCCACTTGTTCCCTGTGGCTCATTGTACCGGGACACTTCAACAGCTGTGCAGATAATTCCTCTGACACAATGGGCAAACCCACCTCTCCACCCAGGTCCCACACCACTGGATTCTGGAACAGCAAACACAGTCATACCCTAGACTGGACCCTGGGCCTGGAAGTGGACATAGAAAACACGAGGAAAGTGCCATCACTTGGCACATTTAAGACTAGACTGAAAAAAGCCGGCCGTGACTCTTGTCCCCTAACCTTCAATGGCTGGATTAGATGGGATCCTAGGGGCCTTTTCCACACCAGGGTAGAGGTGGGCTTGGAAAGGAGGCTGGAGAGAGAAACTGGAACATTCCTTCCTTCTGTGAGACCCAGTAGTGGACAGTCAGTATTTACTGGTGACTGGGTCACACCCCAGAAGCTCATGGCCTCAGCACTGTTCCAGAGCTTCTAGCAAAGAATGGAGCAATTCTCTGAACCTTCTCCAGTTCAGAGAGCACCAGCCCTGCAGGAGAGGCTTGCTCGTGGTGCCGGGTGAGTGCTGGCTAAACTCTTGGAGAGGAGGGAGCTGAACCCAGGACGATCCCCAGTTTAGATGCACTTGTTTCCAGGGATTCTGGGGTAACCACTTTAACTTCCAAACAGTAGAGCTGGAGTACAGGTAGCGAAGGTTGTCGTGACTGGAGCACAGGGAGTGAAGGGTACGTGCTGTTCAGGAAAGACAGAACTTAAAGGCAAAGGAGGTGGAGTAGCATTGTATGGTAATGGTGAGGCAGACTGTAAAGAAATTAGAAGTGATGGAATGGATGAGTCAGTTTGGGTCAGAATCACTTTGGGGGAATAAAGATAACACAGGCTCCACTGGGACAGTGCTTGGGGTCTGCTACAGACCCCAGGATACAATCTGAATATGGATAGAGACCTCTTTAATATTTTTAATGAAATAAATACCACTGGGAATTGTGTGATTATGGGAGACTTTAATTTTCCAGATCTAGACTGGAGGATAAGTGGTAGGCCCAGATTTTCCTGGATGTGATAGATGAAAGATTTCTTCAGACTGAATCAACAAGTGATGATGCCATTTTAAATTTAGTATTGGCGAGTAGTGAGGACCTCGTAGAAGAACAGGCTGTAGAGGATAATCTCGGTTTGAGTCATGAGCTAATTCAGTTTAAACTGAATGGAAGGATCAACAAATATAGGTCTGCAACTAGGGTCTTTGATTTCAAAAGAACTAAATTTAAAAAATTAAGGGAAGTAGTTATGGAAGTGGACTGGACTGAAGAACTCAAGGATCTGAATGTGGAGGAAGCTTGGAATTAATTTAAGTCGAAGTTGCAGAACCTATCTGAAGCCTGAATCCCAAGCAAGGGGAAAAATTTGTAGGGAAGGGTTGCCGACCAAATGGGATGAACAAGCATCTCAAACAGGTAAAAGAAAGCAGAAATCCTACAAGGAATGGAAGATGGGATGGATCAGCAAGGAAAGCTACCTCTTGGAGATCAGAAAATGTAAGGAAAAAGTGAGAACTGCAAAAAGCCAAGTAGAGCTGGACCTTGCAAAGGAAATTAACACCAATCGTAAAAGGTTCTATAGCCATATAAATAAAAGAAATTAAACAAGGAAAGAAGAAGTGGAACCGCTAAGTACTGAGGAAGGAATGGAGATTAAAGATAATCTAGGCATGGCCCAACACCTAAACAAATACTTTGCCTCAGTTTTTAATAAGGGTAATGAAGAGTTTAGGGGTAGTAGCAGGGTGGCTAATGGGAATGGGGAGACAGAAGCAGAAATCACCACATCCAAGGTGTAAGTCAAATTCAAACAGTTTAATGGGACCAAATCATGGGGCCTGGACAATCTCCACCCAAGAATATTAAAGGAACTGGCACATCAATTTGCAAGCCCAATAATAACCATTTTAATTGACTCCATAAACTCAGGAGCAGTATCCTATGACTAGAAAATTGATAATATAGTACCTATTTTTTTAAAAGGGAAAAAAGTGATCCACGAAACTACAGGCCTGTTAGTTTGGAAGGTCTTGGAACAAACTTTGAAAGAGAAAGGAATTAAGGACATAGAGGTGAACCGTAATTGGAATGGAATAGAACCTGGTTTCACAAAAGGTAGATCGCATTAGACCAACCTGATCTTCTTTGAGAAGATAACTGATATTTTAGACAAAGGAAATGCAGATCTAATCTACCTGGATTTCAGTAAGGCATTTGATACAGTTTCACCTGGAAAATTATGAGTTAAATTGGAGAAGATGGGATTAATATGAGAATTGAAAGGTAAGGAACTGGTTAAAGGGGAGGGTACAATGGGTCATGCTGAAAGGTGAACTGTCAGGCTCGAGGGAGGTCACTAATGGAGTTCCTCAGGGATCAGTCTTGGAACCAATCTTATTTAACATTTTCATTTATGACCATGGCACAGTGGGAGTGCACTAATAAAACTAGCAGATGACACAAAGTTGTGAGGTATTGCCAATATGGAGGAGGACCAGAATATCATACAAGAAGATCTGGAGGACGTTGAAAACTGGAGTAATAAAAATGGGATGAAATATGATAGTGCAAAGTCATGCATTTAGGGACTAACAAGAAGGATTTTTGCTTTAAGTTGAGGACCTATCAGTTAGAAGTGACAGAGGAAGAGAAAGAGCTGGGTGTACTGGTTGATCACAGGATGACTATGAACTGCCAGTGTGATGTGGCTGCATTAGCCTGTAAAAAAGGCTAATGCAGTCCCATAATGCATCAGGTGAGGTATTTCCAGTAGAGACAGGGAAATGTTAGTACCATTATACAAGTCACTGGTGAGAACTCCTCTGGAATAGTGTGTGCAATTCTGGTGTCCCATGTTTAAGAAAGATTAATTCAAATTGGGACAGGTGCAGAAAAGTGCTACTTGGAGGATCAGAGGATTGATGCCTTATGAGAGGAGACTCAAAGAGCTTGGCTTGTTCAGTCAGACCAGAAGAAGGCTGAAGGGAGATATGATTGTGCTCTATAAATACATCAGAAGGGCAAATACCAGGGAGGGGGAGGAGTTATTTAAGTTAAGGGCTAATGATGGCACCAGAACAAATGACTATAAACTGGCCATCAATAAGTTTAGGGTTCCAGTTAGACAAAGGTTTCTAATCAACAGCAGAGAAGTTCTGGAACAGCCTTCCAAGGGGAGCAGTGCAGACAAAAAACCTAACTGGTTTTAAGACTGAGCTTGATAAGTTTATGGAGGGGGTGGGATGATGGGACTGCCTACGATGGCATGTCGCCGATCTGCGACTGCTAGCAGCAAATATCTCCAGTAGCTGTTGATGGGACACTAGGTGGGGTGGGTTCTGAGTTACTTCGGAGAATTCTTTCCAAGGTGTCTGGCTGGTGGGTCTTGTCCCCATGCTCAGGATCTAACTGATCACCACATTTGGGGGTTGGGAACGAATTTTCCCCCAGGTCAGATTGGCAGAGACCCTGGGGTTTTTTGCTTTCCTCTGTAATGGGGGGAACGGGTCACTTGCAGGTTTAAACGAGTGTAAATGGTGGATTCTCTGTACCTTTAAGTCTTTAAATCATGATTTGAGGACGCCAGTAACTCAGCCAGAGAGGTCTATTACTGGAGTGGGTGGGTGAGGGTCTGTGGCCTGTGATGTGCAGGAGGTCTGACTAGATGATCACAATGGTCCCTTCTGGTCTTAAGGTCTATGAGCTCTCTCCTGTCACATGCCCCTGGCCACTGGGAACACTGATCAGCGTTTTTCTGTCCCCACACAGCTCCGCCGGTGATTCCAGTGGTGGCAGCGTTAGTGGAAAGAGGGCTCTGAACAGGGTGTCAAAGTGGCTGCCCAGCTGAATGACTGGTTCAAATGGGAGAGTGGAAAGAAGCCTGTTTTGGGCAGCTCCCTGGCTGGCATAGTGGACAGGTTTGACTGGAATGGGGCTTGGGACTTGTTTGAACCTGAGTTAACTCACGTTAATTGGGAGGAGAGTGGATGTTAACCTGGACACTAGGGCTGAGTGTGGAACAGACATCTGTGGTGTGTCTAGAGTGGCATTTACTATCCAGTTAATCAGCCGTCAGTTATCCCGTGTTAAAACAGGCCCCAAACTCTGGTGTCCCTAAAGTGGCATTCTCCCAGCTTTGGCCACTCCCAGCCAGTACCATGCAGTGAGCGCCTCACTGCTCTGCGGGAGCCAGCACACTGAACAGCTGGAGCTGAAAGCAGGACTCAAAGACACCCAATAGGATACTTGATTGCAATTCAGGAGACAGGCAAAGACCTGACCCCTCCAAGCCCTGCTCTGGGCCCCGTGGGCAGAACCACATGCTGTGGGCCTGAAGGTGAGAGTCACAAGGCACAAGAGATGAAACAGCACAAGCTTGCCAAGTGTGTTCTCTGCAGGAAGCCTGCTGAAAACAGGGAGTCTGGGGGATCTGCACTTCGAGCAGCTGAGATGCTCTTTCTTCTGTCAGCCATCCAGGTCCTATTCACTCAGCACATGAACAAACGATGCTGGGAAGACGCCTTTCCTGTGGGGCTGCCCTTCAACCCAGCCGCTCTGTGAAGAGAAAAGCCAGCAAAGGCTTAGTCAGCTGGGGCTCTTCCATGGGGTTGGGTAGCCAGTGGAAAGGAACTGACTAATGACTGCAAGCCATTCCTAAACCAGCCCAGGCAGGGCCCAGCCATTCCAATCTCTGCACTCGCCAACTCCCCGGAGAACAAGGGCAGGTTCTGGGCAGGTGACGAGGTTCCCAGCAAGCTTGCATTAGTTGCTCTATTCTTTCCTGCAGATGGTCTTGTGCGCGGATCTCGAATCTGGGCCCCTGGGTCCCCAGGCAGTGCCCAGTCCACAGCCACTACCCAGCAGCTCACCTGAGCCACTGTAGAAGGCAACCAACGAAGCTCTGCTCACAAAGGGCTCTGCCTCCGAAGCTCCTGATTGGGGGAAATGCCCAGCCCCAGGGATGGCTGGGGAGCTCTGTTTAGACCAGAAAGGGACAGGACGTTGTCTGAGCAACTAGAAGAATCCCTGGCTGCTGCTACTACTAATATGGACCCTGCCTGCTTGCAGGACTCCTGGCTCCTGCTTGCCTCCCTGTGGCTGCCATCCTCATCCCAGACCCCCGTCTATTCCCAGTACCTGCTTTCCGGCCTCACTCCGCATCCCTGCTCCTCTGCCCGTCCCCGATGCTGACTCCAGCTTCGACCCGTGGCATGGCGCCTGACTCTAGCCACGAGCCTGACCACCCACACCCCAGTCATTACAGGATCCAGGGCACGGCCATCCCGGGTTCCAGCTAGGGTTGCCAACTGTCTTATCACACAAACCCAAACACTCTTCCCCCGCCCCCTTCCCTGAGGTCCCACCCTTGCCCTGCCCCTTCACCAAGGCCCCGCCCCGCGCACTCCATCCCCCATCCCTCCGTCGCTTGCTCTCCCCCACCCTCACTCACTTTCACCGGGCTGGGGCAGGGGATTGGATTGTGGGAGGGGGTGTGGGCTCTGGGTTGGGGCCAAAGGTTTTGGAGTGTGGGAGGGGACTCCGGACTGAGCCTGGGGCAGGGGCTGGGGCATGTTCCTGCAGCCCCGAGCCCCGAGAACCAACTCTGAGCACCAACTCCGCAGCTTCCATTGGCCGGGAACTGTGGCCAATGGGAGCTGCAGGGGTGGAGCCTGCCTTAGCCCCTCTGTGCCGTCAACCAGGAGCCATTGGCCACAGTTCCTGGCGGGTGCTGGGGAGGGGGACGCAACCAGAGGAAGCATTGTGGGTGCTGGGGACAGGGGTGCAGGTGCTCGGGGTGGGGAGTCATGGCCCGGGGGGGGGGGCGTGGGTGCCGGTTGGGGGTTGGTGGGGCTCAAGCAGGCTCCCTACCCAGCTCCTGGGAAGTGGCGGCCCCAGCTCCACGTGCTGCCTCTGCTCCGCTCCAAGCCATGGTTCTGCAGCTCCCATTGGCTGGGAACCGTGGCCAATGAGAGCTGCCAGGGTGGTGCCTGCAGGCAGAGGCAGCAAGCGGAGCTAGCAGCTGAGGTTAGCACTGGCCCCAATCCCAAGCCCTGAGCCCCCACACACCCAAACTCCTGCTGTGGGGGGCAGAGGGGCCCTGAGACTGCCCCAGTGGCAGCCAGTGCGAATGACCCGGCAGCTGCCCAAGCTGCTCAGGTGGCTCCTGGGCCAGCCGCAAGGGGATGCTGCAGAAGTCACGGAGGTCACGGAAAGCCACGGAACCCATGACTTCCGTGACCTCTGTGACAAACACAGAGCCTTAGTTATGATTTACTGAATATGATTATCCTATCTGTATGCATGTATTATTTTGGAATCTGAAGTTACGAATATTGTCTATGCATCTATTAAAATGTGTTTACACCTGGGGAATGCAATCAGTCTAGATGGCCGGCTGGGAAGGGCCATTAGGGAGAACGGTAGGTCTTAGAAGATGCTAATCTCCCACTGGGGAGCCTTCCTGGGAAGCCTTCCTGAGGACGCTGCAAACAGCCTCTGAGTCATGGTTGCGGTGGCCCAAAAGGGACATGTGACCATGTCACCTGGTACTGGACTCCATGATAAAACTAGTGTTTTTCCATTGACCAGGCATGGGAATCAAACTGGGAGACAAAGGATTCACGCCATATGCAAAAACCATTTAAGGTAGGGGAGTGACATAATCATGGTTCGTTCTTCACTGATTCCCCGCCCAAGAAAGAGGACTGAACTAGGGGAGAAGGGCTGAATCCAGGCTAGAGGGTTGTCTAGCCTGTGAAAGGAATAACTGGAGTCTGAAGCTGCAAGCAAGTGCAGCTTGCCTTCAAGAATCTCTACAATCTGTCTAAAACAACATTTATGGTGAGAATTTGTTACACACACCCAATTTCTTTAGAATATTAAGCTTAGATTGTATTTTTGTTTTATTTGCTAGGTCAGGGGTCGGCAACCTTTCAGAAGTGGTGTGCTGAGTCTTCCTTTATTCACTCGAATTTAAGGTTTTGCGTGCCAGTAATACATTTTAATGTTTTTAGAAGGTCTCTTTCTATAAGTCTATAACATATAACTAAACTATTGTTGTATATAAAGTAAATAAGGTTTTAAAAATGTTTCCGAAGCTTCATTTAAAATTAAATTAAAATGCAGAGCCCCCCGGACCGGTGGCCAGGACCCAGGCAGCGTGAGTGCCACTGGAAATCAGCTCGCGTGCCGCCTTCGGCACGCGTGCCATAGGTTGCCTACCCCTGTGCTAGGTAATCTGCTTTGATTTGTTTGCTATCCCTTATAATCACTTACAGTCTATCTTTTGTAGTTAATAAGCTTGTTTTGTCTAAAGCCAGTGGGTGGAAATCATAACTGTGGGGCAGAAAGCTGTGTATATTCCTCTCCACATTGAGGGAGAATTTCGTGAGCTTATGTTGTACAGATCTCTGTGCAGTGGAAGACTGCATAATTTTGGGTTTACCCTCTAGAGGGGGGTGTGCACTTGAGTACTGGGCAGTACCTTAGCTGAGCCTTCCCATGCAGAGCTGATCTCAGCATCTGTGGGGATCTGCAGCTGGGTGTGTCCCTACCTGTATCTGTACTGGTAAACTGCAGTCTGAAGCCTGAGGGAGGGCTTGGCAGGCTGCAGAGCAGTACAGTGTTAAGGATACCCAGGCTGGTGGGTCAGGCGGGCTCAGTGGTACCCCAGTCCCAGGTAGCACCCCGGAGAGAGGGGAGTGGGGATTACACAATTATATATTTTTAATAAAATGGTGACATTTGTATTGTTTGTCTTGGAAGAACCAGCCAGAAGTTAGATTTCTAGATGTTCAGTAGAGATGGGACACAACTGGTTTCCAATATGCTAATGTTTGCATAGCGCAAGTTTGCATAGCGCAAGTTTGGATAGTGCAACAGTGGAACCAGAAGTGCTGAAGGAGAGTAGGGTGTGACAGGAGCAAGCGGATTAACAGGTATCAGTGCAAGAGGCAGAGGGGAAGAGAGCGCAAATGGGCGAGCACATCAGAGTGGAGAGTCCAGAGGGCTGAGTGCAGAGCTCCAGAGATCAACAAGGCAGGAGTGGGGTTGCTCAGCTCTAACCAGGAGACCATGAAAAAAACAGGACAGCACTCCAGGGGAGGCAAGGGAGGAAGGCAGCTTGGCTAAGAGTCTGGGAGCTGTGGCTAGGGAGGGGTTTGGCGCGCAGGTCAAGGGGACATCAGCATGTACACTGGAACCCGCAGTGCTGTACTACAGTGTAGGCTGATACTTACCCACCAATTGTGGTCCTCCTCTTCGTCCACGATGATGGTCTCTCCCACATGGAAGGTCAGCTCGTCCTCACGGTCAGCCTGACAGTCAAACAGTGCTCGGACCCGGAAAAAGCGTGGTTTACTCTGAAAATCAGGAGGGGAGAACGTCATCAAGCCTGGATCCCTTTGTCCAATGCGTCCTGCACCATGCTCTTTGGTAGACACAAACAAATGCAGCCTGAATGCAGGGGCATTTTGGTCCCCAAGCCCCCGTGCACTCAGGGCAGGAGAGAATCCCCTCCAGGCACACGGGTGAGGGCACCAACCAGCATGGGAGCCCTGCACAGGGCAGGTGAGTGAGGGGCATGCCACGGGGCCGCAGGGGATCAGGCTGGGAGAATGCGGGGGGGGGGGAGGGGAGGCGAGTGCTGGGTGGCTGTGGGTGCTTTGGGAGCTCTGGAGTGGGTGGTGAAGGGCTGCAGGGGTCCAGATGCTGGAGACTGTGTAGTATGGCTCTGGCAGCTCCCTATCTGCGGTGTTCTTCCATATAGTTGACAACTTTCTAATTTATGAAAACTGGACCCCCTGCCCCTCCTCTTTCCCCCCAAGGCCCCAGCCCCTGTCCTGCCTCTTCCCCAGGGCCCTGCCTCTTCCCTCGAGGCCCTGCCCCTGCTCCACCTCTTCCGTTGACGCCCCAGCCCCTGCTTGCTCCTCTTCCCCACCATGGCTCACTGCTCTACCCCCTCCCCCTTCCTCGTTGCTTGATCCTCTCCACCTCTCTCCCCTGCCCCCCACAGCTGGGCTCCCTGGCTGGGACAGGAGCTGCAGCCTGATGGCTGCCTGCCCACCAGATGCAGTGGGAGGCGGCCCCGGCTGAGCAGCGGCTGGCATGGGTTGATGGCCCAGCACCTCCTTCCCTCCTGAGGTAACTGGACTTTTGGTGTCTGGTCAGTAAATCTGACTGGACACTGCTAGGTCCCCTTTTCGACCGGACTTTACAGTCGAAAACCAGACACCTGGAAACCCTCTAATCTTCCTGGAGACAGCAAGCCCTGTGTCCTTGTTTATTTGCTTCCCTGCGGGCTTTTGCGGGGAGGGGGGCTTGTGTGGAGCTCTCCTGGGGGCAGGGAGCCTGGGGGAAGGGTTGGTGCTAGTCATGATGCCAAGGGAGAGCTGGGAGAGTGAGGCAGAGGCTCTGACCTCCACAGGGCCCCAGCGACAGGGCACCCCCAGGAGGCTGAGGGCCTGATCTGCAGCATGCAATCTTCACCATGCACTGTGTGTACCTCCCGCCCGTGCCCACGCCTGTGTCTGCCCGGGCAGAGGAGCTGACATGTCCCCGGGAACGCACGCTCACCCACTCTGCATGTGCTCTCAGGGGAAGGGAGCCGGCCAGATGTACAAGGCCCCCAGTCCCTCCCTTCAGAAATCAGGCCCTGTGGAACTGCTGGCCGCAGGGCAGCCTGCTCCAGCTGTGTGGGGATGAGAGGGACTGCGCACCTAGGGACTCGGGCTAGCCTCTGCTCCCCATGGTGTTCTGCGAATGCCTCCGCAGGGGGAGGGCTCCATGCCTGCAATCAGCTCCTGCCACTTCCATGTGATGCTCTGCTGCCCTCTGAGCCTGCCGCGAGGCTGAGCCCTGTCCGTGGCCGGGGTGCCAGCGTGCAGCACTGGAGTTTGAAGGGGGGCACTTTTGCCAACATTACAACCAAATATAGAGAGAAAAGGCCGGTGAGGAAGTGGGATCTGAGCGTGACATCCCAGACCAGAGCACCTACCAGGGTGTCCCTACTTGGGAGACGGGGCAGCACGTCCTGTACTGGGCCAGGGCCTCCACCTGGGTCTTGCGAGGTCCACGGCAGCCCGTGGCGTCTTCCTTTGCTGGAGCCAGCCTCAAAGAGCGTTTCCACTGTCTCCAGGGCAGCTAGGACACCAGCAGAACAGTCACCAACTCCCTCTCTTCACAGGCAATCAGCACCACCCCCAGGGCAGCACCGCACTGTGCCAGCCAGGCCCCCTCACTACCCTGGGCAGCTGGCTGGGCAAAGGAGGGAGACAGAACAGCTGGGCTGGGGCAAGACGGCAGAGGGCAGTGGGGCTGGGGTTAGATGGCAGAAAGCTGGGCGAGGGGAGGGATGGCAGAGGGGCTGTGGGAGAGGTAGGGTGGCAGAGCGGTTTGGGGAGGGGTGGGGAAGTGGAGGGTGGCAGTACTGGGCGAGGGGAGGGATGGTGGAGGGGCTGCGGGACGAGGTTGGGGAGGGGTGAGATGGCAGAGGGTGGGGAGGGGGTTGGAGAGGGGTGGAATGGGGCAGGCAGCTGGGCTAGGCAGGCAGTGGCTCCAAAGTGAGTGGCGCAAGGGCAGGGAGCTGGGCCCGATGTGGCAGGCCGCGGGTAGGTTCTGGTAGCCAAGCAGGGCTCAAGTCATCCTTACCAGGCTGTGCCATGTCCTTGGTGGAGGAGTGGCTGGTGACCTGGTGGGATCCGGTGCTAAGGGAAGCCGCAGAGAAGAGCTGGTCACTCAGACAGGATGAGGATGGGTGGGGTGCGGAATGGGGCCCTAGGTACCCTGCACTCTTGAGGCACGTATCGGTGGGCAGCAGATCTCAGGTGGGCCCCAAGGCTCCGTGGGATTGCCTTGCTGGCTGCTGACTGCCAGCCAGCCCCACGGGCAGGCAGAGCCGCAGAGGAGTATGACACTAGCTGGGTGATGGGCTTGGCCCGGGGTCTTTCTCCAGTGGTGGAGGCAGCCCCTCCAGGAGCCCCACTGCACCCAGCAGGCCACAAGGCACTCCAGAGAGCCAGCCATGCTGCAGCCTCCTGGACGGCAGCCTGGGGCTCCTGCCATGGGGAAGCGGAGAGGAGGTGAGAGGGCAAAACCTCGCCCGCACCTCGCCATAGTGCCACAGCCACCAGCCCTCCCGCAGGAAGGGGCCATTGTACAGGGCAGCTGGCCAGACACGCCCATGCCAGGGCACTGAGATATGGTATTTAGTGACAGCACCCAGTGCCATTGCCAGGGGTCCCAGTCCTGGAACAGCAGCCCTGGGAGACAATGGCTGCAGACAGCAGCGTCCCCCTGCCCCCTACCCACCTCTTGCAGGGCCTTCTGTTGGGCACCAGGCACGATCAGGGCACTCACCTCCCCCGAACACTGCCATGCCCCCAGCTGGGCAAGGAGCTCCCTCCAGAGAGCCCCAGACCCAGGAATCCTGCCCCACAGAGCCCCCCCGGCCCCTCTGCCTACATAACCCCACCGAACAGAGCTCCCCAGCCCCTCTGCCTAGGTAACCCTGCCCCACAGAGCTCCCTGGCTCTTCTGCCCAGGTAACCCTGCCCCACAGAGCCCCCCCACAGCCTCCCTGCCCAGGTTACCCTGCCCCACAGAGAGGCCTTCTGCCCAGGGAGCTCTCCCAGAGGCCCTGCATAGCTCGTCCCAGGTTCACGGGGCTTGTAGTGACTAGGCCCCAGCTCTCTCAGCTTCATGCAAACTCAGGCCGAGGCTAAGGGGTGCCAGGGCCTTGCCCCTCAGTGAGCTCAGCCATGGGGAGTTACCTCAGTCTCCTGGGAGGGGCTCCTGCTGCAGAATGGCCTTTGGGAGGTGAGAAGGATCCAGAATCTGACCGGGAGAAGGGAAATGGCCTGAGCAATGGAGAAGCAGGTGGTGTGTTGCTCACAGGTGGTGCCTTCTTGGCAGTTGCTGACCCACCCCCGATGGACAATGTGCACAGAGAAGCCATGCTCTGTCGCACCCCACACCCGCTCAGCACCGGGGACACCCTCCCGGGCATGGGGCAAGCGTTCAGCTACTGCCATAGCATTCCTAAGAGCGGAGCTGGGCCGGGGAACAGGCCTGGCCCAGAGCTGGGAGCTATGTACCCTTCACCAGCCAGGACAGCCAGGGATTCCCAGGTGCAGACGCTTTGCACTTGGATCACATGCGGCTCTGAGGCTCAGTACGTTCCCGCATGCCCCACAGGCCTGGCCAAGGAGCCTCAGAGCCCCAGGGAAGGGAACAATCCAGGGTGAAGGGCTGGAGCAGGGCTAGTCCCTGGCAGCTGCACAGTTCAGTCTGCTGCCTTCTGGGGATCCTCTCCATCCCTGTGCTCTCTGGCCTTCGGGGCGGTGGGTACATCTCCCAGGATTCAACAGGAAGGGCCAGACCCTGCAATCCCAGGGAGCTTGACATGCCCACCAGGCCAGGACTGATAGGAACGGTGTCTACCTTGGGCAGGGCTGGATCCCAAGGGCAATGGAGACAGAACAAGTGTCCTCAGCTCCCCGAGCTGCTTCCCCACAGAGCCCCATCCTACTGGCCAGTCCCTTACCTGGAGCCAGGCTGCCGTGGCTGGGCTGCATGAGGCTGAGCGGCACCCAGGGCACAGGATCCGATGAGGTTCGTTTGTGCCTCATGCTCAGAGGTAGCAACAGGATCTTCCTTACTCCAGAGTCCACAGCACTGGCAGGAGGAGCGGGCAGGGGCACGTGGGGAGCTACACAAAACCAACAGCAAGTCTGGCAGTGAGAGGAGAGGGAGGGGGACACGTACAGGGAGGGGGCTACTGACAGCTTTGGTGGACAGGGCCTCAGCTGGTGTACATCCGAGTAGCTACATGGACATTAACATAGCAAGGCTGATTTACACCCGCTGAGGATCTGGCCTGAGGTGGGCAAAAAAATGTATTGCATGGATAGCTACTCATGCTGCCCCTTGTACCTGGGGGGCTGCCCTGCCTCAGCCCCTGAGACGTCACTGTGCCGTCCACATCCTGGGGGGCTGCCCCGCCTCAGCCCCTGAGATATCACTGCGCCATCCACATCCTGGGGGGGCTGCCCCTCCTCAGCCCCTTAGACGTCACTGCGCCGTCCACATCCTGGGGGGGCTGCCCCTCCTCAGCCCCTTAGATGTCACTGCGCCGTCCACATCCTGGGGGGCTGCCCCGCCTCAGACCCTGAGACGTCACTGCATCCCGTACACGGAGAAAAACTGAAGACATTTCCTCACAGACATTTGCTGTAGGCAGATTGGTCTGGGCCTGGCTGCTTTGATGCTTGCTCTAGGGCTTGGCCCAGTGGTGGTCAGGCCCCGGGGGGTGGGGTAGGGAGCTGCAGAGATGGGGCATTGTCAATGGGGCCAACAGGACAATTAACTGCCAATTTTGCCTCGGATAAGAAGGAAGGGCATCACTATTGTTTGAAATCTATCCAGTCAGACTCCCCTGCTCTGGGGCTGGCCCGACCCCACAAACCCCACTGCTGCAGCAGGGCTACCGTAAAGGAAAGTCTCACCTCGGATTACACTGTGTGGTGGAAGAGGGGGCACACATGAAGCAGAGCCAGGGGCTGCTGGTATGTCACGGGTGTGGGAATGAGGGCGTGCATAGATGTCATGCAATTTCCCCTGGGGGGCTGGAATTGCACCCTTTGAAAGCCCTGCTGCATTTCCCCATGGCTGGTAGGCAGTAGCCGGTGAACCGTAGTAGCTCTGAAGGTGGGGAATGCGCTCCTTCGGGGAACCCAACTGAAAAGAAGAGACAGGCATGTTGTTTATGTGGAGCTGTGAACTGCTGAAGACTTTTGGTCACAGCAACCTTGGGCTGGATTCAATCCAGCAAGCTTCAGCTGAAAAGCTCTTTCACCCTCAACTGCCGAGTTCCCTGAGCGCATGATACATGCATGTATCATGCCAATTTCTAAGCAGGCAGAAGGCTGGACAAAAGAGTTCCATGCCCGGTAAATTACTGCAACAATAATAAGGCAGGTGATAAACAGCAAGCAGCATGGCTGCAGCAAATCCCATTCCAGCCCAGTTTCAGCTCCCGTGTTAATGGCACAACATGGATAGCTAAGATGAGAAAATGGGTGCTATATTTTTGCTCATCTTCAGTGAAGCATCCAATACAGTTTCACATGATAACCTCGAAGGGAAATGAGGCAGGATCAGAGGTACAGCTGCGGTAAGGTAGAAGGGCAAGATAGGCACATGCAGCCCCGGTTAATGGCTCAGTGATGAGAAGAAGTGCTGAGCCAGGTCTGTGCTGGGTCCATACTAATCAATATATATGTGGGCAAGAACCTCTGTTTGTAGCTGAGGACCGCTGTAGTGTGCTGGGATCTCACCTTCTCATCCAGATCATCGTCGCTCTCATACATGTCATCCTGGCCCAGCCGCCACTCATATTCCACATGAACACGCATGTTGAACTGATTGTTTTGAGCCTGCAGCAGCTGGAACACAGAGGAATCAGGCTCAGGTCAAACTCTCCTATACCCACCTACAGCGCTCTGCATCAAGGCTGAAAGTGGAGTGGGCAGCCCAGGGTCAGAGAGACAGGTCCTGGGGGAAAACACACCTCAGTGTGAAGCAGTGGGGGTTTCCAGCTGGTAGGCATGGCACCCAGGCTGCCCCATCTCTACCTGGGGACTTTCCTACAGCCTTCGTCCTTTTTCCAGGACACTGCTGTTTGCATTGGAGCCCTAACACATGGGCCTGGGCAGCACAAAAGCAAGATTTCTGGGTGGTTTCTGGGTGTGGGATCCTGCCATATGCCAGAAGGAGATCATCCCACAGCAGACTGCTCTGAGCCCAGCAGCTATAGCCACAGAGACCTCTCAACCTGGCAAATCCAGACCATGTCCCATCAGTACTGACTCTGATTTTGCTAACTGAGAGAAGAAACATCTCTCTAACCCCAAAGTCTGCACTACCACTAGAAATGTCTCCAAACTGGCTGTCCCATCCCTCCAGTGGGGTCTGAACGAATCCCATTCTCTGTCAGCAACAGCAGACCAGGCATCTACCTGAGGTCACTTTATGTCCTGCTCTGCATCCCTCATGGGTACCAGCAGAGCCCTAGCAACTCAGACAAGGCCTTGCATCAGGGCACCACTGTCAGCCAGGACCAGCAGAAGCAGCATGCACTGCCTGCAGCACTCCTAGGCCATCCTGGATGAGCCAGTGGGAGGGGCAACCCCAATCTCTCCCCCCACCCCTAAGCTCAGAACCCCCTACCAATCAGGCAAAGTTCAGGCCAGATTCCAGACCAAGAAGAGACCAACCTCACAGAATTCAGCCAAGTTGTCACATGGAGCCCGGTGCAGCCTGGGCCAGAAGCTTAGGTGTCTTGTTGGCACTGTGCAAATATGGGCAATAAAGCTGAGTGTTTTGGACCTCCACTAAACAAGAGGCCAGACCTTAGAATGGAGCTATTTGCCCAGCATACTGCTGGATCTATGCTGCAGGGAGTGCAATGTGGGCTTGGGGAAACACCCTGCAGAAGCAGTGTGGTGGGGCTAACCCCCTCCCCTTCTAATGAGGTCCAATCCCTGGTTTGCTACTGAGCGCCCCACCTGCTGCGTGGAGCTCACACCCCAAAGGTGGAGACTGTAAGGTGCCATTTCTTACCAGTTCTTCACACAGCGAGTGTCTCATGCACCTGGCCACATCCAGGGCCGTCTCTTCAGCTTCATTGGCTGTGGGGAAAAAGCAGCTGTCATGAGCCCTGTGAGCGCTAAGGCAGTTCCTGCTAGGGAGGCATGGAAGCGACTCTCGATAGGGCTGCCCTGTGAGTTCCACGTTAACCCCCGTCTCCTCTAGCTCTTGCTCTGAGTGAGCGAGTTGTTTGGATGCTTCCATGTGGGATGCAGGATTCCAGAGCTCCTGGCACAGTGCTGGCACAGGGGAGTTTAACATTTGGCTGCCAAGCCTTGGGAGTTTTGGCTTCCCTCAGGTCAGGACCCACTTTTAGCCCCCTGATTGGCCCCTGCAGAATTTGCTCTGCACATGAGCACAGATATGTGTACAGCCAGGGACTGTAAAGAGGAGAGAACAACCGAAGAGCCATTGCTACTAAATGGCTCCTGTCACAGGAGGCAGCCTTTAAAGGTAAATGTGTGACACCGCTGACAAATGCGCGACAAAGATACAGACACTAATTAGTTGTCGTGATTGTACTGCCACCCCCAACTTTAAAGTGGAATTCTTTATAAATCTCAAAGGTCAAACACAGGGTACGTTTTTCATACCCTCATGCACAGCAGATTATTAGATCTTCGGTCAGGGCTCAAAACCAGCCGGCATATGCCCATGCACCATACCGGTGCTGCTCCACGCCTGCTCTTTTGTTCTCCAGAATCTCAGCCCTCATTTTTTAAAAAAAGGAAGTCTCTAGCTGTTGTGTGAAGAAAACCTCAGACGCGTGAGCAAAGTATCACTTGTGCAGGCATGTCTGCCTGAGTCTGGAACAGCAGCTCTGAAAGGTGTGCCCTGCCTCATTCATCTCAGGGAGGTGATTGCTCAGAGGCCTAGGGATGAACATTCAGGTGCAAGGCCGGCTCTAGGTTTTTTGCCGCCCCAAGCTCCAAGAGCGCAACTGCCCAAGCCAAAAAAAAAAAGAAAAGGGTGGCTGGAACGCCGCCCCCGGAATTGTGCCACCCCAAGCACGTGCTTGCTTTGCTGGTGCCTAGAGCCGGTCCCCTTCAGGTGTCACCACTGGGAACTATTTCCTCCCCCTGGAAGAGAGGAGAGGGAGGGCCACACACCTGCCGCTTATGGAGTAACGGCTCATGTTGGTGCTGCAGGTGGGTGGCACTGGGCAGATGCCACCATTCATTTCTTCCCCAGTCTAAAAGGCGCTGAGCCCAGCAGAGCCCAGAGGCTTGTTCAGGCCTTGCTGAGGCAGAACCAAACTCAAGGAGCCCAGTCAGCACATGATCATATTCTGAACATCGACATAATCTACTGTGCGTGGTGTCTTGTGCTGGCAATGCACCAGGGTGGAGCTTATTTTGCAGGCAGAGCCCAGAAGAGTAACACCCACCTCTCTCCCCAGTCTGACCTGTCTTTAGCTTGGAAACAAAAGTTAGCAATCCTAGTCAGAACGGAGTCGAGCTCCCTCAGCCACACAGGCCTGAATGCACGAAAGGACATAGGGTGGGGACACTGAGCGTTGCAACGCTGAACTCTTGGACACCTAGAAAATCCTGGGAACAACCTGTGACTCCCAAAGCCTGAGGTAGGCGCTTAAGAGTGGGGCGAGAGATGCATCTTTGAATGCAAATCACAAAAGCCAGCACGCTAGCCGCCTTGGAGATGCCAACCAGAGGGGTGTGCACTAAGCCCAGCTCTCTCTCAGAAGTAGGTGCCTTTCTCTGCTTGTGATTCTCAGCCAGAAACCCTCTTTGGAATTAGGCGCCTATGCCAGTTTGCAAGAAGCGAATGCGGGAGGGAAAGTGAGAGAGCACAAGCATGAGAATGACTCTGTAGCCTGGTAGGCAGAGCACTCATCCAGGAGGTGGGAGACCCAGCATCCAGGCCCCCTGCTTCAATGACTATTTACTTATTTATCTACAGTGGAAGAACTTCAACAGAAGAGACTGAGGAAGCCCCACCCATCACAATATCCCACAGCGCAGTGGTTTGAGCTGCACTTGAGCGTGGCAGCTCCCTGTTCAAACCCCTTCTCCCCCTGAGGCAGAGGGGGGACTTGAACCCACGGTCTCCCACATTCCAGTGAGTACCCTAACCACTGGGCTAATAGTTATGAGGGAGGGCCTGGTCCTCCTCCTCCCACCACACTGTTTTGTGTGAACTTGCCTGAGGGGCCTGAGACTGTAGGCGGCCTCTGAGCCCAGCTACTGGCTGGGGTCCCACCCATGACTTAGATGGCTGAATGCCTCTTTCCCTGCCTTGTGCATGGTCTGGGGGTTAGACGTCTGGGTGCCGAGAGGGCAGCAGAGCGCACATGCCCAGAGGCAGTAACTTAGGCACCATGGGAACTTTCTACTGCAAAAATGTAGGCACCGAGTGAGTTCAGGAGCCTTCAGGGCTCAGCTGGAGTTCTGTGGATCTCAGTGGAGCCTAAAACTGGGCCTTGGGACCCTAATGACTTTTATGAACCTAGGCCCTGAGGATTAATCTTCATCCGATTCAATTACCTTTCTCACTGCTAAGCAATTAATCATAGGATCATAGAAGATTAGGGTTGGAAGAGACCTCAGGAGGTCATCTAGTCCAACCCCCTGCTCAAAGCAGGACCAACCCCAACTAAATCATCCCAGCCAGGGCTTTGTCAAGCCTGACCTTAAAAACCTCTAAGGGTGGAGATTCCACCACCTCCCTAGATAACCCATTCCAGTGCTTCACCACCTTCCTAGTGCAAAAGTTTTTCCTAATATCCAACCTATACCTCCCCCACTGCAACTTGAGACCACTCCTCCTTGTTCTGTGATCTGCCACCTCTGAGAACAGCCTAACTTCATCCTCTTTGGAACCCCCCTTCAGGTAGTTGAAGGCTGCTATCAAATCCCACCTCACTCTTCTTTTCTGCAGACTAAATAAACCCAGTTCCCTCAGCCTCTCCTCATAAGTCATGTGCCCCAGACCTCTAATAATTTTTGTTGCCCTCTGCTCAACTCCAATTTGTCCACATCCTTTCTGTAGCAGGGGGCCCAAAACTGAACGCAATACTCCAGATGTGGCCTCATCAGTGCCGAATAGAGGGGAATAATCACTTCCCTCGATCTGTTGGCAATGCTCCTACTAATGCAGCCCAATATGCCGTTAGCCTTCTTGGTAACAAGGGCACGCTACTGACTCATATCCAACTTCTTGTCCACTGTAATCCCCAGGTCCTTTTCCGCAGAACTGCCACATAGCCAGTCGGTCCCCAGCCTGTAGCAGTACATGGGATTCTTCCATCCTAAGTGCAGGACTCTGCATTGTCCTTGTTGAACCTCATCAGATTTCTTTTAGCCCAATCCTCCAATTTGTCTAGGTCACTCTGGACTTTATCCCCACCCTCCAGCATATCTACCTCTCCCCCCAGCTTAGTGTCATCTGCGAACTTGCCGAGGATGCAATCCATCCCATCATCCAGATCATTAAGGAAGATGTTGAACAAATGTCCTGGGGCAGACCATCAGCTGGGGTAAACTCTCATAGCTCTCTCCAAGTCAATGGTCCCCTTCATAGGGAGGACTGGAAGCACCACTGGAGGGAGCAGGCAGAGCTGAGAGGTTGTAGGGAGGAAACAACTGGTGGGGCCCTGGAGGGGGATGGAAAGAGACAGAAACGGGGAGGTTCTGATGTGCAGCCCGGGGTCTAATGGATGGGAGCCCTGCTCTGGCAGACTTTATATAGGTCCAGCTGCATGGGGCTCCCCTTCTACAGACCTCAGTGGAAAGAGGAGAGTGCATGGTGGTGCAGCAGGAGCCAAAGGGAGGAGCTGGCTGCAGGACTGGAGACTGCCTGAGGTCTGGTGCTTGCAAACCAGGCTGGCCGGGGGAGCTGAGGTGATTCTGGTCCATGGAACAGGCCTGGGGATGGGGCTAGTGAGCAGAGCTGCAGCTAGAAAGGAAGGACTGATTGACTGGGAGTTGGAAGAAGACAGTGAGATCTGGCTGAGTGAGGATGACTGGCTGGTGACTGGGAGCTGGCCTAGCGGAAGGGCTGTGAACCATTGAGATGGTTAAACACCCATAGCTGCTCTGAGGAAACCTCTGCACATCTGGCTAAGAAAGCATTAACTAATATTACAGTGATGTGCACAGAGCTCTCCAGGGAGCAGTCTGGCCTTGGATTCCAGCTGAGACTTACCAAAACAGGGATTCCAACCCAAAGACTTTGTCAATTTGCAGTTAAAGTAGCACATGATAGTCCAGAGAAGAGACCACACTGGACACATAAAAGCAACCCCACTCAACATTAACAGGTATATATAGAAATTGATACTTAAACAAATTAGGCATCAGAGCAACTTTCTCAATGCCCAACACCCAAACAACTTTAACTGTTTGGGAGCAACTTTAACTCTGCCCTGAGGAGAAAGCACACTCCATGAATGAAATGATCCATTCATCACAGAGCTCTCTCTCAGAACTGCACCTAAAAGCATGGAGAGATTACTCTTATTCATAGAAAACTTGTGTCACTGTTTCAGGGTAACTGCACCTCTGACCCCCTCCATAGTCTGCTAAAGGGCACCCCTTTAGATCTCAGGCCTCCAGCCATCTCCCCTCTCTCTTCAGTCTGGGGGTTTAGGCTGCAGTCCCCCTGCAATTCATGGTGATTATTCCAGTAGATCTGACCTCGCTCAGCACATGCATTTTACTTTGATCCTCCAAGGTTCGTGGGTTACCTGGTACCAGACAGATTTCACAGAGCATAGAACATTGATTTTAGGAGAAAAGTATTACAGAGAAAATATATCATACAACAGAGAAAGGTCTAAACACATGCTAGCTTATCAGAAGTCACCTATCATCCACATGGGGGATCTGGTAGGTCACAGTCCTTCAACCCTTTGGGTCGGGTTTCCCCCCTTGGTCAAAGGACCATGTCAATTTGTTGGATCTAAAGCAGGACCTCAGGCAGTTCAGGCTGGGCCTTTACAAGCTCTTCTTTGTCTCCTGGGCTTCTTGAACGGTCTGAATTAGTCTGTGCAATTTCCCCTGGGGGTGGTACTTCTCTGGAGTTGTCTACCTGTCCCAGGGCTGCAGTAATTATCCTCACTGATTGTAGCTCCTGCAGTGATTGGAGCTCTTCACCAGCCAGCATACACTGCCTGGCTTACAGCGATAGAGATAACATTTATAAAATTGCAAGACTAGTCTCAAGATACGCCTGTGTTTATCACATCTGGTACCACTTGTCATCAATCAGGCCTTTTGTAAAATCCACTCTACAAAACTAAAGGCACTTTATTAATTCAGGAATCCCTGAATTCATATGTGTAACAGAGTCATTGGTGGTTCCTCCCTTGGGAGGCGGGGGAGGGCAGGAACCTGACAATGCCCAGTTATCTGCACTGAGGGGTCCCAGCCCAGGTCCCACTTCCTTACTATTTGGGGGGGGGGGCCTCTGCCCTTTGTGGGCCCTTTTAAGTCTCTCCAGAGGCGGGGATCAAAAATGAAAGTCACAAACCCCAAGGCATTCAGGGATACTCCCTCCCAGTGGCCCTAGCAAAAGGGGAGGGGTGCAGCAAGTCTACTGTGCACCAACGTACTGGGTTTTGGGGAAATTGGTCTGGCCAGGCCTCTGAGTCAGGCTCAGCCTGTCCATCTTACGCTGGGAATCTGTTGTTCAGGGTGAAGGTCTCCTGGCTAGGAATCACTCCTGCAGTCTGCAGCTTAGGGCAATCCTGCTCCTCTCCCACCCGTCCTCCCTTTTAAAGGCCTCCTCCCTATCATACATAATTCACAGGGCCAAAGGGGTAGGGCTAGCCCTTCCCTGTCTGCATGGGGTCTATACACCCCATCACAATATGGGTCTAAAGTTTGTTACAGGGCCCATCACCATAGCATGCAAACCCATCCAAAGAGTGATTTTTTCCTACTACTAATACCATGCATCCCCAATTAAAGACACATGGTTAGAGACAAAGCTACTGTATGAACTAACCAGAAATGCTACACCAGCTGAGAAAGATCCACACTGATTATATTAACACAGGAACTGTGCGCATCATCACAAATCAGACACAGAATTACACACTAGAGGATGGACACATATAAGGTTAGGTAACAGGAGCACAAGGGACCAAAGGAGCTCCCAATAAAGTAAAAGCAAAGACTGCTGTTGTCTCTAGCAGAGGTCAGGACAGGGCCTAACATATTAACACAAATGCAGGGGCAGAGTTAAGGTTGTTTGGGCGGTGGTCATTGAGCATTTTTGTCTTTAACGGTAAGTGTGTGTGTGTCTGCAGATGCTCGAGTATAGGTTGTTGTCCAAACTGTTAATGTCTGAGGGGTTTAAGATGGGTTTATTGTAAGATGGCTCTTGACTTGCACTTAACCTTAACTGTAACAAGGTTTTTGTTTTGGGATTCTCTACATCTGCTTAATAGGCATTAGTGATACCTCAAACGTGCTCAGAGCTGCTTCAAAACAATCGGTCAGTAAAATACAAGTAACTCTGAGCCAATGGGTCAGCAATATCTGCCTTCCTGTGGCCTGGAATAGTCACTCCTTATAAAGCTCATGGCTGTCACATTCACAGTCACAGCCTCTCCTGTCCAGGTATCTCCTGAAGGAATCAGGATTCTTACCATGCACTGAGTCATCAAGGATCAGCACGTGACTTCTCTAACCAGAGCTAAGCCATAATCCCTGTTACACACCATGTACTGCCGACCCTATCGGGGCACCTCAGCGCTGTTCCTGAGACACATTGTCCTGTGGATTTACAATGCTACACATTCTGTGTATAAAAGCCACTTGGTTCTGCATGCTTCTTCTGTTGCATTTGGCCTCGTGCAAAGGGCTCCTGTTCTGTTCCCAGTAAAACATGCAAGGTGCAGAGAGCAGACACAGGCCCTGCGAGTGAGACAGTAAAAAATAAGGAACCCAACCCCGACATCTTCTTCCCTGTTTGGAGAACCGAGCCCGTGCAGTCACTTACTGATGGCAATGCTGGCTTTGGCTCTCACAAAGAGCTTGAGGCACTCGGGTTTATTGTGGAGGCAGCAGTAATGAAGCGGTGTGTTTCCCTTCACTGTCTGCTTCACAAGGCTCCCACTGGGGCAAAGGACAGTCAGTATCAGTATGCTTGAGAAAGAGCAGTTCTCATCTATAACAATAACTGCATGACGTTCAACCCCAAACCCTTCTCCCTAGCTCACAGGAATGAAGACCAGAACGGATACTGCCCAGCATTCAGGCTTTTAGCCAAAGCATGTGAATGTAGGGCTGCAAAATGTCTGGCATATTGTGCAGCTCTTGTGCACTGGGCAGCCCTGCCATGCCTGCTGACAGCTCACCTGGGACCTCGCGCATGGGACCTCGCACAGCTCACCTGGGACCTCGCGCGAGCTGCGGGCAGCAACTGCAGTTCATCCCGTGGCCACAAGAGGCTGTTGTGGCACATGGCTTCAGGCAGGTGGGGACAGCTCGTTGTGGGGGTGAGGGTGGGGGACACACACACGCTGAATGGAAGGGACTGACTGGGGCCCAGATTAAGCCAGGGTCTGAAAGGGGTCAGGAGAGGCTGTCTCATCCCCAGCTGCCAGACGCTGCCTCCAGTAATAAATCACACAGGGTTTATTAAAATAATTAGGATTGTATGCAAATTATGTGAAAATATGCAAATCTTCTCACTGAATACTCTACCCATGGAATTTCCCCAACCTTGGCAGCTGTGTGCACGGTCCCCGGCAATGGGCAGCGCTGTGAGGCTGGTACAATACCCACTCTACTGCAGCAGCAGCCGAAGTCAGAACACAATCCTGCACTTGCACACCAGATCACACAGGACTGCACATCCGTGAGGACGCAGCTATGCATCACTGAGTGATGTCAGCATGGAATTTCGTATGGAATGAGCATACGCTTTTATCAGCTTTCAAGTTTTACAACCATATATGGTCGCGGGGGAAGTGGGGGAGAGAGATAAAGAGAAGAGTTCACAGTGCAGGAGGTGATGCAGAAGATAAGGGTTTAGAAGGATCGTCTAGACGAAGGATGGTTTTGTATGGACTGGAACCCCGGAGAGCTGAATTCCATTCCCAGCTCCAAGAACCTTCTTTTGTGACCTTGCACAAGTCACTTTCTCCCGCTGAGTCTCTATTCTCCCTTTTGTAAACGGGAGATCACAGAATCATAGAATATCAGGGTTGGAAGGGACCTCAGGAAGTCATCTAGTCCAACCCCCTGCTCAAAGCAGGGCCAATCCCCAATTTTTGCCCCAGATCCATAAGTGGCCCTCTCAGATGATGATAACGGAGCCTAAGCTCACAAGGGTGCTGGGAAGATAAATCCATAAACACTTGGGAGGTACCCAGACACTGTGTGGCGGCCCTTAGGGAGACAGACTTTAACGCTGGTTCCACCCCAATCAATGGCGCACTGGGCTTGAATGCAGAAGGAAAAAATGTACCTCCTCCTGTTTAGGAAGAACCAGACTCACTCAGAAAAGCAAGAGCCAGCCCTTGGGAAGCCCATCTTTGAGCCTGGCTGGCCCGGAGTAGTCGCTAATGGGATGTAGAGCCTGTCACCAGTGGACTGCAGTCAGGGTGGGCGTGCTCATTGGAGAGCTGTTCAGTGGCGGGGCGGGAGCAGGGGCATGGGCTGAACCACCCAGGGGGACACATGTCCTAGTCGGAAAATCTCCGTCCCCATTGGCACTCATTGCTCCCCTCAGCAGAGAGCCCAGGGAAGGGCCATGGCCATGAATTCCCCTCTAACCCTAAAGATGGTTTCTCCAAGTCAAAACCGAGGCACTTCCACAGGGAAATACCCTGGTGCTGCCCCCTGGTGGTACTTCAGGGGATATTCAGAGGCACTTAGTCTACAAGGCTATCCAGCGCCTTCCACCAGCACTAACTCCGCTGATGACATTATGTACCTTAGCCTGAGCAGACAGTCCTACCCCTGCTAGTGCCTGCAGTCAGCTTACCTGTTCTGCACCAGAAAATCTACAATGTGTAGAGAGGTTCGGTCAGCTAACAAGACTGCCAGGTGGAGAACAGTTTCCCCGGGTTCCTGTAAATGGGAAACAAACAGCAAGTGATTGGATGCTTCCGAGTTTCTCAGTATTTCCATGCAAAACAAGCATGTTCTACCCCTCCTTAACTTCCAGGACTTGAAGAATTGCCACCATGGATCAGGGATGGGGCCTGTCTAGCCCCATACCCTGTCTCTGACTGTGGCCAGTACCAGCTGCTTCTGAGGAAGGCACAAGAAACCCCAGAGTGGACAAATTTGGAATAACCCATTCATAGGGGAAGTGTCTTCCTCACACCCATCAGTTAGAAGCTTGCTCATGCCCTGAAGTGGGGGAGGGGAGGGTTCATATCCCCACTCTTTATGTAATATAACTGCAGATAAAGTCATCAGTAATTAAGAGCAGCAGGACTGCAGAAGTGCTTAGATCAGGGCCCCATTGTTCAATCACCAAACTGTAAGAGACAATGGTGACATTTTCCTTACTAGGACACAGACCCGGAAGGGACCTCCTGGGACAATGGGTCCATCCCTGCTATCACCGGCAGACCTATCAAATTATCATTATTACAATAATAGTAGTACAGTAACCCTCCCCCGGCACTGGCCCCTGCTCCAGCTGTGATGCAGCAGAACACGATCCTGTCCTGGGGAGAGGACGGCCAAGGGAGGGCAGCTTGAACTGGGGAAGTGGCTCTGAATCCGCCCAGAGGGGCAGTTGGGAAAAGCTGTTAGAGAAGGAGAAGAATCAAGATGCTGAGCTGATGGGTGAACCAGAGCCTGGGTAGGAGGGGAGGTGATAAAATAAAAGAAGAACAGGAGAATAGAAGTAGGGGACTGGGAAGTGAGAAGGAAGAAAGAAGGAAAACAGCAAAGGTTTCAGGTCAGGAGAAGCAGAAAAATAACCAGACTTGGCAGGCGGGAACAGGCACTAATAGAGAAGGGAAGTAGAGGGAAATGATATCTACAGACTTACCAGAGACAGAGCATCAAGGGAAAAAACTGAAAGGAAACAGAACTGGTGAAAAAGGGACTTGATCAAAAAGCTGAGTTAGATGAAAACAGAGCCTGAAAATGGTAAATGAGAAGGCTGCCCACAAAGGACCTAAAGCTTGTGAGGAGAGAGAGTGACTGTGACCGTCTAGTGACGGGATACAGTTCAAAGGGGCCTGATGCACAAATGAGGGGCCACTAGGTGAAGAAACCCCACTTGTAGATAAATTCTGTGAAAAGACATACAGCCAGAGGAACAGCAAACCTCAGGAGCCCTTCAAGCCAAAGAGAAGCAATGAACAGGCCAGCAAGAGTGGAGCTGGACTTGCAGCCAAGGAGAAGAAAAGATGACTCTTCTGTGAAGTGACACAATCTATTGTTAAGGAATCTCTTTGTTCTTCTTAATAACAATCCATTTGGTACTAACTGCCCAGCGTGTACAAGCCCCAGAGGTTAACAAGTTGGTAACCTATAATGTAACTATGAACAGTAACTCTTTGGCAATGTTCTACATGATTTAAGCTCCTGGTACCAACTTGTTAACCTCTGGGGTTTTCCCTTATAAAGTCCTAAAAATTTCAAATGACCCATTTGTCTTGGTTTGCCGCTGCCTCTCCTCCCAATTTGCCTTGCCTGCCTGGCCGGGTCACCACACTATAATCACGCAGTATTAGTGGAGCACCCAGAAGCCCCAATCAGAATTAGGATCTCATTGTTTCAGAGACACCTGAGCTAAACCAACTGGTCCCTCTTCACCCATTTGTATTGACATGTACAAAACATTGCAATGTATCAGCAAGGTGTGATTTTCCTTTGCAGAAGCCATGCTGGTTTCTCCCTTATATCCAGTTCATCATGGTGGTGTATACTTCTAATGATTACTTCAGTGAATTTTCCTAGTGCTGAAGACTCAGTGATCTGTAATTCCCCACATCACCCCGGGCATTGTTTTTACACTTGCTACCCACCAGCTGACCAGTACTGTAGCTGATTTTAACAAGTGACTACATATTGTATAAGCAGCTCAGCCCTTTCATTTCTCAATAATAAACAATACCTATCCCGCATATTGCACTTTTCAACTGTATATCTCAAGAAGCTTTATATTAAATACCCCATTTTTCAGATGAAGAAACTGAGGCACAGACTTGTCTAAGGTTATGCCTCAAGTCAACAGCAGAACTGCCCTACTCTCCTGAGTTCATATCCAGTGCCCTATCCAAAGGGACTACTGGATTCCTTTTAGATGTATACCATCTGATCCTGGAGACTCAATCTTTCAATGATCAGTTTGCTCTAGTACTTCCTGTTTTGACACCACAGTTTCGGGCAGTGCCTCATCTTTATTACAAAAATCACTTCCTCATCCTTCTTAATTGTTCCCTTTATCCTGCAGCAGCCCACCAGACTCCCTAGTTCTCTCACAGAACAGGTGTCCTGCTTTTGATGTACTTCAAACATGTCTTGTGATTTGTTTTTATGCCTTTTGCTGTTTTCTCTTTGGATTCCCTCTTATGCCTCCTGATTTCCTTCAGACATATTGCCTGACATAGTCTCTATGTTCTTTTACAGGCTTCACTAGCGTTGGCTTTCCAGTTTTGGAAGGATACCTGATAGCCCTTGAACCTCCCATTTAGCCAGGCAGGTTTACTTCCTGTCTTTCTGCTGCCCTTTCCGACTGAGGGGTACATATGTTTTGGGGACTGTTAGGGTTGCTTAAACAGTCTCCATGCTGAGTTTAAGGGTTTTAATTTCCTCATTTCTTACTTTAATGTTTTTTACTTGTTTCCTCCTTTTCTTGAAGTTTAGTGTCACCATGCTCATTACTGGAATCTTTCCTCCTCTTGGCAGCATGCCACTAAAGGTATGTCCACACTGCAGTTAGACACCTGCAGCTGGCCTGTGCCAGCTGACTTGGGCTCGCAGGGCTGGTTAATTGCAATGTAGACTTCTGGGTTTGAGCAGCAGCCTGAAGTCTGGGACCCTTTCACCTTGCAGGGTCCTACTGCCTGGACTCCAGGCCAAGTGTGAACATCTACACTGCAACTGACCAGCCCCTTAGCCTGAGTGAAGTGAGTCTGAGTCAAGTGACGCAGGCAAGCGGTGGGTTTTTAATTGCACAGTGGACACACCCTTCGCGGCTCAGCTATTCTTACTTCTTGATTTAACTCCTAGTTGACCTATATTAGGTTGACTTACCGCCACCGCAGTAATTAGTCCACACTACCTCCTTGAGTCGGTGATGCGCATCCTCATCAGCAGTGCTTCCACCGACCTCAGAGGGGCAGTATGTGGACCTGAGAGCCTGGTCTTGCATCTCTGCCGGACGCCCAGCTGCCCCACAGGCTCCTGGCCTCCCTGTGGGCGGCTCCCCTTGGCTCCCTGTTGCCCACCAGGAGCAGTGGGCAAGCCGCCCGGGGCTTCTCGCCTCCCCTTTCCCTGCCCGGAGTGGGGTCCAGCTGCCCAGGGTTTTTGCCCTAGCTGCCAGCCAGGAACGGGGTCCAGCCACCCAGCCCTCCAGGGGCGGGGAGCAACTGGGTTCTAGCTGCCTGGCTTTCTTGTCAATTTCTCAGCTAAGAGAGCTACCAGCCGTTTTAAGTAAGGTCGTGTCTACATAAACAGTAGCCCCACCTACACCGACATAAGCCCTACGCCTCTCGTGGAAGTAGAGTTATTATTTCAGCGTAGTAGGGCACTTCCACCAGTGGGACAAGGCTGTCGTGAAGACACTGACATAATTTGGTTGATATAAATCAGCTAGCTGTGCAGTGCAGACCACGCCTTACTTAGGAAGTTGAGAACAGCCTCTTGTCTTGTGTGCGCTAGAGCTGGCTGTTCCGAGAAGCAACTGATGTGCCATTTGCCCAGCTGAAGTCACTCATTTCATCATTTTGTTAGGCTGAGTTCCTTCTCTCATTTCTCTCTACAGGTGCACGCTACAGGTATCCCTGTCCTGAGGTAACCATACTCTTTATAGAGCAGTGGCAGTGACTTCTGAGTTAAGGTTGTGTTCTATTATTTCACTTAAAGCACCTTTCAGACTTTGGTTTGAAAACCTAATGTATCTGTCCCAACTGTAATTTGAGTAATGTGTGAACTTTCTGAGGATTTCAATAAATCTGTTAATTTCCGAGTTTTAATCAGTTAAAAATTGGCCTTAAAAAGTTCTAACTCAAAAAGATTGAATTTTATGATAGTTCAAGCCTCTCTAGCTTAAAAGCTATGGCATATAGAAAGCAAGCAAGGTGCATGTAGGGCGAGTGTGGTGTCTCTCTTTGGATGTGACTAGTTTGCTAATTAACAAAAATAAGAGAATGTATTAGTGTTATTTACCATAATTAAATCTGTATGCACTGTACCTAGCTGATGGAAAGCGTGATTTAAATGGGCAACCTCCGTTCTCTGATGCAGTGTGGCGAAGTCTTTCTGAAAAGTGTGAGAAAGGATTACAATACTGTCTTTTATCAGACGCCCCCAGGAACCTTCCCTGTGTCTGAAATTGGGGGCTACCATGGTGTATGGGGAGTGGGCAGTGCTTGTCCAGGGGTACTGGTGTTGCGCTGGAGAAGATCACAGACAAAGGAATGGATGCTTTGCTGAAATCAGGATCTCGCTGAAACTGAGATACTGAGACAGCTGGACAGTTTTACAAAGAGCAAGATCTTCAACACAGTAGCAGCTGCTTTGACCATGACCTGGACACAGGGTGGGTTGATATAAATCAAGGTGATTTAAATCACTAAGTGGGAAAACCTCAATTTAAATAATCAATTTTAATCGACTTTTCCATTTGTACTTATTATTTTCTAAAGAAGGGTGCATTCTCATTGGTTAAAATAACTATTAAAACATGTTGATTTACAACTAAATAGAGCTTTTACACTAGATTTGGTACATCTTTTTGCTGCCTTGGAGGGTATATTATAACTATATACACTTATTTAATCAATTATGTAGCTTAATATTTTCACACTCTTATTAATTGTACATTTTAGTATGTTAGAAAATGGTGAATGATATATTGATTATTTACTAGATAATTAACT